CCATGATAGCAAACAGCCTACTGTGGCACAAGTGTTGTGCCACTGCTACTGAGATACCAACACACCCTTATTTCTTGCAGCACAATCCACAGCAGGTAAGATATTAAACAGCCTAGGTGACTGTCAGCAGATGAGGGGATAAAGAAAATGTGGTTGTATATACACAGTGGAGTATTCTTTAGCCATAAAGAATAAAATTTGCAGGAAGATGGATAAAAATGGAGATCATCATGTTAAATGAAATAAGCGAGACTCAAGTCAGATATGTGTTTTCTGTCATATGTGGAATCTAAAAGATATGTTAATTTAAAGAAGCAATTACAGGAAAGTAGAAGGGAGACTTAGGAGAGAGAAAGGGTGTTGGGAGGGAAGAGGATGTTGGTTATGGGAGGGGGGTAACCAAAGCATGTTACATATGTGTGTATGAATATGCAAAACAAAACCTGCTGTCCTCTAATATGCACTAATGCAATTTTTTAAAATATGGAATTTTAAAATTAGAAATATGTTTGGAATATTTAAAAATTTTTTCAGAGCCAGGCGTGATGGTGCAGGGCTATAATCCCAGCACTTAGGAGGCCAAAGCAGGAGAATCAGTGCAAGTTCAAGGCCAGACTGGGCTACTTAGCGAGTTTGAGGCCAGCCTGAGCTACACAGTGAGACCGTGTCTCAAAAAAGCAGCAAAAAAATTTTTTTGAAATAAAATTCACATGCCATGCAATTCATTCATTTAAGTATGTACTTGATTTATATTTGATTGATAAATTTATACTTCGTAAAAAAGTATGAAAAGGTGATCAACAATAGATTTTCAGATATAAGATGTATCACAGTCTAATCAACTTCAAAGAAATAGAGTGAAAGTGTAAGTTTAGAAAAAAAGAAATGTTGCAAAATTTCTGACTCATAGCTTAGTGATAGAGTGCTTGCCTGGCATGCACAAGGCTCTGAGTTCAATCCCCAGTCTCACACACACATACACACACACACGAGCCAGTTAATATACAGAGTTCAACAAAATGTATGTATACTTCAGGAAAAGACAAACTTGTTAAATGTTTTAATACTAAATTTTTTTTTTCCCAGTACCGGGAATCGAACTCATGACCTGGTGCTTGCCAGGCAGGCGCTGTGCCGCTGAGCTAAATCCCCAGCCCTTTTAATATTAAACTTATTGAGACATCGTGAAATTAATACGTTACCTTTGGCCTCTAAAATTACAGGAGGTGCTCAAAGTGGGGGCTGTTAGCTTCCAGACATTTATTAGTACAGCCAGCTGCTGCTGGATAACCTTGGTCATTGAGATTGATTGCTGCACATGTATTTTCAGTTTCTTCTCTGAGGGCTGGCAGTGTAGTGGGTTTTCTGTGATATACGACATTCTCACGGGTCCCCCACACTAGAGTAATACCATCATACTGTTTTTCTTTCCTGAAGTGTGTATACATTTTTTGGCAGACTTTTTAACATTATTGTGGCACTTAGATTCTATTTGATTGTTTGACAAAATAATGTTTTATTTCAAGATGTCAAGATTTACAGTACATTGGAAGTTACCTTTTTTTGCAACTGCTTAAACCTCAGATTCATACATGTCAACTGAAAAATGCACAAGTGGAAACAAGCATGCAGGCGGTCTTTCTTAAAGGAAAAGCTGGGATGGATTGCTCTGTATCCTTCCAGAGGGCCAGGGCCATTCGCTGGAATGTGGTTTATTTAACTCATGTCTTTGTTTACCCAGGCTATTGTAATGAGAAATTAAATGAAGCAGAAATCGATCCACACTTTACAATTTCACCTTTTTTAAGATGGCTAAACACGACCAAAACAAATGTGTATTTGTAGAAATTATATGGGTGATTTGTGCAGCACTTTTTATTCTTACTGGTAAAAGGGAAACATGTTTGTGTAAAAGAAAAGTTACTGTAACTAACACTTACAGCTTATTTTATTTAGTTTTTGGTATCAGGAATCAAACTCAGGACCTTGCATTTGCCAGGCAGGCACTTCTGCCCGTTTGCTGCCATGTTTGCCTGGAACAAAAAATCTTAATTTCTTTACCTACCAGTTACATTGAAATTCATTTGTATATCTTCAAAAGATGATCATTTTATTTGTCCAAAAAATGTAAGTTAAATATAGAAACAAAATAATAATTCATAATCCTGAGATCAGGAACAAAAAGAGACAATGGTTCATATTCTTTAAGCTTTATAACTTAACGTTTACATCCGGAAAAACTATACATTTTTCCCTCAGTGTAATATTACCATATAGCAGCTTTATAGTTAGAAGAGTTTACACTTGTTGAAGAGGGTTTTTTATTAATTTATTTTAAAAATAAAAGAAGGAAAACATATTAACAAACACACCTGTTTATAAAATAGCATAAGAACAATACAAGCAATACTGAATTACAGACAAAGTGGTAGGAAATTAACAATGGTTGTTGTATTACATATTGATATCTTCAAAGTGGTTTCTCAGGAAAACAAATAGAGACATGGAAGATGGATCAAATAATTAAATCATTAACTGTTCCTTTAAGTAAAGCAATAGGACTCAGTAGTACAACTATGTTTGCTATCCTGTATATACATACATACATAATTTCCCCTTTCTTTTCTCTTTTCCCTCACCCCAGTTGCGCTTTACTTTTGAGCAGTTTCCTTTCATTTCACAATGTCTATCATACCTGTTGAAGACGTTTTTATTAAAAACTGAGATTACCTAGAACAGACATGGAAAAACAGATACTGGAATGTAAGATTTAAGGCATATCAAATCCTCTTTTGATATAAGTAGATGGTCAAAACAAGATTCATTATTTTTAATAAAGTCCCTTGAATAAATATAACTGTTTTGAAATATGACACCAATAGTGTAGACATGTAGATGATCCTCGATTTATAATGGGCTTATATCATGGTCAAACTCATCATAAGTTGAAAGTATTTTGAGTCAACAGTACATTTAATACACATCACGTACCACGCACCACAGCTTAACCTACCCTAATTTAAATATGCTCAGGACCACCTGTAAGCCTATGGTTGGGCAGAGTCTAACAGAAAGCCTATTTGATAATGAAGTAAATAGCTCATGGGTACACAGATGGGCGGGGTTTGTTGGTTTTTTTGTGCCGGGAATCAAACTCAAGACCTCATGCTTACCAGGCAGGCACCGTGCCGCTGAGCTGTATTCCCGGCCCCAGATGGGCGTTTTGTAGACGCGATGTGATGTGGAAACACAAAACTCAGTACCCCCAAACGCTGGCGACCGCGTCCACTGCAAATGCAGCTGCCGACGCTGGTGCTTGTGAGGCTGACTCCGCAGCTGCAGATCGGAAGCCGCTGCCCGGCGTCTCCAAAGAGTACTGTGCTGCTTATGGCAGCCCAGGAAAACCAAAATCAGAACTGAAATTTCGAAGTGGGGAGTCTCCTGAGTGTGTATTGCTTTTGTACCACCACAAACCTGAAAAGCCACTAAAGTGAACCAGTGTAAGCTGCTTGCCATCCGTACTTTCCCTTTATGGAACATTTTTATTTTTAATACAGTTTTAATGAAGCAACATATATTCTTTATCACATGCGACAAATTATAATTTATTAAAATAAAGGTAATTCAAAGAAACATCCAGGCATTAAATATGAAGCAACTTGGTGAAAGATGTCATCCCATTATTCTGCTAACCTCAGTTAAGACCTTACTCAGACTTTATTCAGATCTAATTGAAGACTTTATTAGGGGCAGCACCCTAATAGTAGTTTTTAATGATGTAAAAACAGATTTTAGTTGGAGTTTTGTTGTAAGGTGCTTTTTAAAAAGAGATGTGCTAATATATACTAGATCAATCAGTTTAATATATCTATTTTATGTAATAGAAATTAAAAGTTTATTTAGTAAGAAGGAAGAAGCTAAGACTAAAAAAAAAAAAAAAAAAAAAAAAAAAAGACGTTTAGCATTAACACATGAGTCCAGGAGTTTCTTCTTCACAAAGATAGAAATGAGGACTAGCAAGAGTGGAAATGAAAAAAAGAAAAAAAAGGAAAAAAAGAAAAAAAGGCCCCTCCAGCGGCTTCGCCCCGCAGTCTTTTCCCTTCCATTTGGCTCTGTCAGGAAAGAAATGCTTTAGTCCGCGCGGTGAAGTTGTGAACCGGGCGGGTTAGCCCGCTTGTTACATGTCCGTGCTAGACTCGGCCCCGAGGGCTGTCCCCTCCAGCGGCATCTCTTCCTCTCAAAAGACAGAACGAAGTCCCCGGAAGTTCAGGAGCTTCGGGGCTCACTGCACCCTGCGTGTCTTTAGCCCTCAAGCCCCACGTCTCAGCTCTGCTCTCCGCTCTAGACCAGCCGGATGGAGTGGATTCAGCAGTATCCCTCCTCGCTCCGCCATAACCCAGGACATGGGGAAATACATAATTCTCCGCAGCTTTGCTGGCTGCTTCACCCGTGATTCCCCAGTGACAGGCCCCTGCCCGAAGCGTTTGCAAGGCAGGTAAGGAGGAGGAGCCTCTGCCCCGCTTTGGCAGGAGGAGGAGGGCATGGGGCGTGTTTCTTTCATTTCCCTGCGCTGTGGTGTGATGCTGCAGCAACTCCCGGAAGATTTCCCACCAGCCTTCGCTGGCAGCGTGGTGGCCAAGGTCATCAGTGGTGACGGTGGCTTCCTTTACCTGTGGCTTTCCTGAAACCCAGCCCGGGCTTTTTCTCGCCCAGCTCTCCCAGGGACTGGGCAGCTTCTGCTCCCTCTGCGCTCTGTTCCCCGATAGACGCCAGCGCTTGGCTGACTCGCTCATTTCCTAGGGAGCAACTGGTTACTTTTCCAACCAAGAAGCCAAGCTAGGAATGACTCGGGGTGTGTTCTAAATTTATAAATAGCATATTTCCTGGCGTTTCCTTCTCATCTGGGACAGTAAAGCGGAAAAACAAAAACAAACAGGAAAACCTTTCCAACCCCCACCTCCACGCCCCATGCACACAAAAAGGAAATGGAAGCATCGTTATTCTTTTTACATATTTTCATTTACTATATCTGTAATTGCTGTAAGTTTATCTTCCTTTATACCGGAATTCTGACAGAGGGCCACTAGCTTTAGAGAAAGTGAAGAAAGGTAGGAAGGCTGCTTTAATTTTTCCCAAATCTGGCTTGAGGGAAAATTCATGCATCTTTCTAGCTTATGAAACAGGCGTCGAATCTTTATTAAACTGGCCAGCAGCAGAAGGTCCTCTCCACTCAGGTACCAGAGGACGGGGATCTCCTCAGGGTGGGGTAGCTTGCAGCAAAGAGAAAGGAAAGGATGCTCAGAATCAATGTGGGGAGGCAGCACGCTTATGCAACACATCTGAGTTCTTTCACTTCCCCTCCCTCCTCCCTCCTCCTCGTGGTCCCCTTCCCACTTGCAAAAGATCTGTCTCCCTGTTTCCCATTATCTATTTTTTATTTCTTTAAATCATTTATACTTTGGATTTTTCATATAAGAGAGAGAAACTATGCAATATTTAATCTTGTGTGTCTGATTTATTTCACTTACCATTATTGTCTAAAGGGGCATCCACTTTCCTATAAATGACTCAAAATCATCCCTCTTATTGCAGAGAGTAGTACTCTATAATGTACAAATAGCACATTTGCATTATCCATTCATCTTTTTTTAAGAGAGGCATAAGAAGGATTTATTAGAGGCCTATGATACAGGACGCACTCAAGAGCCGAGTGAGGGTGCTCTGAGAAATGAGGTGCCTACGTTCTAGTTTTGGAGACTTCCAAGAATTAGCTACTATGAACTGCATTGCTAAAACATGGAGACTGCAATATGTTTTTAACTCTTTGATGGTGAATACTAATAGAAACTAAAACTTAACAAAAGAGCTGTGAGGAAGAAGAGGGAAAGGGAGACAGGAAGAGAGGGAGAGAGAGAGTACAGCACATGTACTTGCCATGGGTGTAATATACCAAAAGGAGATTATACTATAAATTTCTTTTTTTTTTTTTTAACAGGGTTTTTGCTATGTACTTCAGGCCGGCCTTGAGCTCACTTTGTAGCCCAGGCTGTGCTGGTTGTGCTGATTGTGCTGAATATTTCCACATACTTAAAAGTATAGGTTTCTAGAAGTTGAATACACCCATGAAGTTTGCGGTAAACTCTTCCTTTAAAAATGGGTTAAACAAGCCGGGTGTAGCATCGCACGCCTGTAATCCCAGGTGAATGTCTTTGAGCTCTGGGAGTCAGCTCCAAGGAAGGGCAGTTTAGGCTCGGCCTTAAGTCTCATTAAAACACACCTCACCCAGACCAGCCCAGAGCTTTTCTGCCATAGCAGGGAAAAGAATGAACATAATACAAATCTTAACATCTCCAAAGCAACACTACTCAGAGTAAACACGCATTTGGCATTTGGATCCAACTCTGAACTAAAAAGAGTTTCAGGAGGAAAGAAACAGTAAGCCTGCCTTGATTCACTGTGAAACTTGCGCTGTGCATTTCTCATTGAATTCCAAACTTCTCAGTGGACTATAGATTGTGCATGTGTATTGTGCATTAGTAATGACATTAACAAAAGTCATTTTATTGTTATCTAAATGCTTGAACGTATATTAATAATGTGCCTACCTTTACTTTGGTTCCCACCCTGATGGTTGCCTGTTGGCCCATTGCTAGAAAAGTGATGCAAATCTTGTCTTGCTCTAAGATGCGCATCCCAATGTTATGGTTCAAAGCCAAGAAGACAGGTTTAAATGAAACGAGGGGCGAAGAGGTCGTGGAACTTGACCAATTCCAGGCTCTTACTCTGTTGCCAGCTTGATCTGAATATTGACCTCCTATGATGTTGAGGTACACCCTGGAAGGAAATTAAAAATGGTAAACAGTAACGCTATAATTCAGTGCTGAATTAGCCCTGTCGTTTGCTAACCAAAGGCAGTAACGGTTCGTGCTAGTCAATGGTATATGAGTGATGAGAACCTTAGGTAATCTTAGGCACTATAACATTAGGATGGACTTCTACATTAATTTGAGGTACGGGATGCAATTTGAGACCATACTGCCGAACCAAAGTGGGTCCACAGAGGGGCTGGGGTGATAAAAAGGGAGGAGGGGAAGTTTCATTTGGGAAAGAGGGGACAGGTACAGGAGAGGAGGCTATTCCTCAAAGAGGGGAGGCTACGGCTCAGATTTTCACCAGGCCGGTAATTCAGACCAGTGGGGGTAAACGCTGGGGAAGCCCAGATTGGCCTCCGTGTGAAAAGCTGTTTTCTCACAGTGCCCCCGACTGTGAGCCAGGCGTCCTCCATGGAGATGACTCCTCAGGACCGGATGTGGCAAAAGAGGCCTGGGAAAGAGTTCTGCCCCACAGCGGAGGTGGCGTGCCACCACCGGGCCTGTCCGACCCCTCAGCATCGCAGCGCCCTGCCTTTACCACGTTATAGACAGATTTAGCCGTGCACACTAAGATCTGGTGGCATTAGTCACCACGCCATTTTACTCAGCTATGGCCTGCTGTACTCTTACCTTCCTCCAACTTCATCATCATCCCCACCTGAAGAGAGTTCGGAGTACTTCGAAAGTGGGCTGAATTTGATAACGAACTATTTTTGAAAACAACTATTAGGAACTGCCCGGGAGAAGAAAACTAATATCTCATTTCCCCAGTATTGTTTAGTGGTAGTAATCTACTGGCAAAAACACAAATAAAAAACTGAGGTGATTATCTTGCTAGACTTGGAAAGAAGGAGATTTGTTTTTACCTTGAAATGTGAGTGAAAATAAATAATATTTGGCTAAAATTATCTGGATAAATGGGTCCCGTATGTATTTAATAAGTTTTCTTTGAGTCTCCACCACGTATAGGTAGACTGCTACAGAATGGCAAAGATTCAGAGCATCCATTCAAGGATCTTAAGTCCAGCGGGAAAGAAACAGACCTGCTACACCAGAGAGACAGCCCAGGAGGGGTGATGATGGGACATCGAGGGCCAGTCAGAGTGCCCAGGAGTGCAGTTCGTGACTCAGTGGCTCCAGGAACCAACTGGTCTCTAGACACTAATTCATATGGTGGAGAAGTGTCATAGCAAAAAAAAAAAAAAAAAAAAAAAAAAAAAAAAAGAGAGAAGTGTTATAGCACTTCACAAAATGTCACATAAAATTACTACTGAATCCTGACAGATAAGTGGAAATTTTCCAATATACATGGTGGTAATGGACTGACTACTGCTTTGGATTAAAACAAATAGCTCACTGTGCCCCAACCTTCTCAAGTACTGGCATTGCCCAAACTTTCCAATTACTGGCAAAGGTTCCTGGGATTGTTATATCTATCAATAATTTAAAGACATAGAATATTTATTTATGAAACCTCAAAAAGTTTTCTTTTTTTGAGAGAGAGGGTCTCACTGTGTAGTTCAGGCTGGGCTTGAACTCACTATGTAGCCCAGGCTGACCTTGAACTCGCCACAGTCCTCCTGCCCCATTCCCCAAGTGCTGGGATAGCAGGCGTGCATGCCCAGCCCCACAAAAAGCTTAAATTATATTTGGATTTAAAACCTAAATTTCACTTTGTCAGGCTATATAAAAAATATGAAGCCATAGCGTATATATATTAGTAGGTCAAAATGGGATTTGGACCTCATCCTTCCTTCCTTCCTTCCTTCCTTCCTTCCTTCCTTCCTTCTTTCTTTCCTTCCTTCCTTCCTCTCTTCCTCCCTCCTTCATTTCCTCTTCCCTCCTCTCACTTCTTTCCTTTGATGCTCTGAGACAGGATCTGGCTGTGTAGTCTAGGCCTTGAAGTGCTCCGTAGCCCAGTCTGGCCTTGAACTCGCAATTCTTCCTCATCCTCCTGAGTGGGATCTTTATTTGTTCGGAAATTTTGTTTGTATGTTATTACTATTGGTCGTGGCTACAGAATGCATACTAATCAGGAATGCATCTCGATCATCAGCAACCAGTACAGTAACTGTCCACTGACAAATCATTTCCATAATGAAGTAATACAATACCATCATGGCACAGGCCCCTGAGACTGCCTGGGTGCATATTGCAAATCCCTAGAGTGACCATATCGTATGGTTAAGATTTTCTTATTGTTTATTAACAGAATATGATGAGATATGTTTGGTATATTTGCTTAGGATTTTTCCATTGAGAAACGTATGGAATGGCATACACCAAAAATATCTCTGAATTGAATCTTACTATCTAAAGACCACTAATTTCAAAGCTTTCCTATTTCTAAGAAAAATAACAAGCTAGGGATGTAGCTCAGTGGCAGAGTGCTTGCCTAGCATGTGAGAGGCCACAAAATTAAAAAAGAAATGAAATGAAAAGGCCACAAAACAAAGCAACAAACAATAATAGCAACAGAAGGAACTTAAAAGCCTACCAGACATTTCCATTGGGATGGTAACAGGAACTTTGGCCAGAGGAATCCAGAACTGCCAGGATGGCTGGGTTAGTAGGTGTATCTTCCTGGACTATACAAATGAAACCCTTTATCTTGTTGGGCACTTGGATGATGGCTAGATTACCAGATGGATAGCTGAGATCAGATAAGGTCATATGAGTTGTTCTAATGGTCCTTGACTATCCTGACAATAAATTTTATGTATGAGAGCTCACTTAAATTATAAAGCATTCTGAAAATGAGGGTTACTGTTAATACAAAAGGATCATATAATTTTCATGTTGATCAACATATATTTATAAGATACAAAAATCCTCAATAAAGTAATAGCAAAATAATCTAGCAATACATTAAAAAGATTCTGGACTATGATGAAATGGGGTTTATTCCAGGAATGCAAGGTTGGTTTAATATTTGAAAATTAATCACTGCCATCTACCACATTAACGGAATAAAGAGCAAAAAACACTATTTCCTCAATTAGCACAAAACGTTTGACATACTTCAACACCTTTTCTTGGTAAGAAGTCTTAACAGACTTTAAACATAAAGGTAACCTGTTATTAATGCTATTTAATACTAAAAGGGGAATTTAAATGTATTTTTAGAGATAATAAAAAGAACCTAGTGGTTCTAGTCATCATAATTGTTATTCTAAAATGCTATGTTTGCTCTTAATTTTAAATTTTCCTTGTAAAACTTTGTACTATTATCTGCTAACATTCTATAAAAGTGTGACCTCTAAAAGAAACATAATAAGCAGTATGTTAAGATTGTAGGCCAAGCCAGGTGGGTACCTGCCTATAATCCCAGCACTTAGGAGGCTGAGCCAGGAGGATTGCCATGAGTTTGAGGCCAACTAGACCCTGTCTCCAAAAGACTTAAAAAAAAAAAGATAGTTCATGATTTACATGATAGATAAAATAGATACTAACTCTGAATACTAATGCTGACTATGATAAATAAAAGTGGTAGCTGTTTTCTAGCCATGTTTTAGAGTTCAAAGTGCCCAATATGCAGATAGGATTATAACAGTTAAAGCCTACTGTTTTCCCTTCAAGACTGGTACAGTTGGGCTGGGGATCTAACTCAGTGGCACAAGGGCCTGCCTGGCAAGTGCAAGATGCTGAGTTCAATTCCTGGTACTCCCCGCCCCCACCCCCAAAAAAGACTGGTACAGTTGACCTTCTGGCTGTTCAATAACCAAGTCTTATAGACCAGTGATAAAGAAAATAACAGAACTAAGAAAACAACCAATATTTTGGCCTTTGCCCTCTAACGTCAGCCAAGACTCAAGACATGATGGGACCTCTCTAGAGGAATCCTGCACCCCTGCTAAGTCACCCAATCTCCCAAGCAGGGAGACTACTGGACCCCAGATGACAAAAGTCAACCATGGTGCATTGTACTAAAATAAAGGTTATGAAAGAGAGAGATGGTCCCATGCCTGCAAGGGAGCCTGTATAGTCAAGGAAGACCACATCCTCAACCTGATAAAGGGAACCTGCAAAAACCCCACGGCTAACACAATACTGCATATTAGAGTACTGAGTGCTTTCGCCCTGAGGTCAACACTAAACAAAGACGTCTGCTCTCACTACCTATTAAATATTGTACTGGAAGTTGTAGTCATAGGAGTTTAGGGAAAAAAGGAAATGAATGGTATCTAGATTGGAAAGGGAAGTAAACTGTATTTGCAGATGATACACTCTGTACATAAAAAGCTTAAAGAATCCACAAAACAAAGTATTAAGCGGAGAAACAAGTTTAGCAGATTTGTAGGCTACGAAAATCAGTATAGTTGTTGGGTGTGTTGGCACACACCTGTAATCCCAGCACTTGGGAGACTGAGTTCGAGGCCAGCCTGGGCTACAAAGTGAGTTCAAGGCCAGCCTGAATCGCATAGTGAAACATTGTCTGAAAACACACACACACTCACACACACACACATACACACACACATACACACAAACACAAATCAGTATAAAAATAAATTTTATTTATATGCACTAGCAGTGAACATTCTGGAAATGAAACTAAGAAATCCAGTGCATTTATAATAGCATTAAAAAATATATTGAGGCTAATTCACTGTTAATACTGGATCCATATTGGGGCTGATTGGAAGTGCAGAGATAAAGTAAATGCAAGATTCACTCTGAATCATTTTGAAACTCAACCGCAGCCTTTAAGAGAGCTAAGAAGAATTAACGTCAGGGCACAGATTATAACTAATAATGAAAGCTCAGTAAGTTGTTTGAAATTTGAAACAGTTAAACCACTTTTTCTCACAGAGTCGCAGGAAGTGAAGCTTCATTATGCTTCCTCTGGTTAAGAAAGTCACTTTTCTGGCTTATTGGGGTTTAACTAAACATTTCAGAAACTTCTGACTACAAATCATTATTTTCTACAAAGGGAGACTCTCAGTTCTTGAAAAATCCTTCTTCATTTTCAAAAAAAAAAACCTTTCTAGAGATATTGTGTAGCTTTTATATTCAAATATCAATTGTCCTGCTTAGCAGGCAGAATTCCAAATGATCAATAAGTTTGTGTTCCATTACATAGATATTGAATTTTGCTATTAAAAATAACATGCTGCTCATTAGATGTGGAAACTGGTACATATCTGGGGGCATCTATGAAAACATTAAAACATCCAGATCTCTTACTTCTAGGCATTTTATTCAAGGAAATAAGCGGTTAATATACAACAGACTATGCACAAAGTTGTTTCCTTAGCCACTGTGTATAACACAAAAATTGTGATACTGCCTTTGTTTAGTAGTAGGAAGGAGGATGAATGAATTATAGTATGTCTACACACTCAAATACTGTGTGGTTATAAGAATGGTGCTTATATTACATATCATAACATTTTTATCATAGTTACATCATAAGGAGCTAGTTATAAAATACTACAAAGAATGGTTTTTAAAGAACTACATATATGCTTCTAAGCAGAAAAAAATAAGGAAAGATATATTTAAAAATTGACCAGTTTTAGCTGGGCATGGTGGCTCATGTCTGTAATCCCAGCACTCGGGAGGCTGAGGCAGGAGGATCGATGTGAGTTCGAGACCAGCCTCGGCTACAAAGTGAGTTCAAGGCCAACCTGAAGTGCATAGGGAAACCCTGTCTCAAAAAGACAAATAAATAAATAAATAAATAAAATAAATTTACCAGTTTTTCTCTGAGTGGTAGAATTTTATGGGTAGTATTTGTCTATATTTTTTTGTTTTTACTCTATTTTTTTTTTCTGAGCAAATAAAGCCAATAAAAACACTTGTTGAAGGAAAGGATACAATATTTGTGTTGTCCCATCTGGAAATGAAGTCAGAAACTTGATTCCATTCTTGTAATGCTTCTCAAAGAGCTCATTCCTCACAATCTGTGTTCCAAAGAAAAGAACAGAACATCTAACATTAGTTTTATGAAACATCAAGCATTAATTACATGACAGTACAACAATGGACATCAGCTGGTTGTGAGACGGTGTTATGAAAGTTTCCTTTATCTAAATGCTTGGCCCTGCTTCAACAAGGGATATCTTTAGCAATCATTTAGAGATTCTTCCTAACCCTTAATGTATGTATAACTTTTTTCCCCCCTTTGGAGACAGGATCTTGTAATTTGTTAAACTGCTCAAGCTGGATTTAAACTTCAGATCTTCCTGTCTCAGCCTCCCAGAATGATGAGATTACTGGCATGTACCATCAGGTCCAGCGTCAGCAGTATAACTTGACAAAGCCTTTCTGGTGGAATTTTGACATCACGTATCTATTGATGTTACATACCTGCTTGAAATTTTTATTGTTTACTTTATACATGCATTACTATGAAAATAAAGAAAGACAAAAACTATTCTCAGTGCAATGGCAGCATTCCACATCCTGATTGTAGTGGTGATCACATAACTGTCAGAATTCTTAGAACTGAACACTTAAAATGGTGAATAGTACCATACATAAATTTTACTTCAATAAAAGGATGACTTTAAAAGAGGAAAACATATTCCAGTATAAGCTACAGCACCTGGTGTCTCTTCCGGGTTACTCCTGAAGTTCATGTGAACATAACACTGGTGGAGCGTGGGATGGCGGAGAGAGACATGGGGAAGATGCTCTTCCTGTGTCTCCAAGTTCAACTGTTACATGCAAAGCTCAGTGTGGAAATGAATTTGTACTCTACAGTACTTTGAGCATTCCATTTAACTCTATGAATTCCTAACCTTGAACTGTACTGAAGTGGATATAGAACTTCCTAGGGCTAAACAATAAAACAATCTGAGGTTTCACATAAATATTGCCCTTTTTTGGGAATGTATTGTCCCACAGTTTAAAAATTATGAAATCTGGAATCCATCAGTCAAGTGCTAAAGCACGCTGTGTCAGTAACGAGTAATGAATAATGAAAAAGAAAACACCCACATGACGGTACCCGGCGGGAGACACGGAACAGTGCTGATACCTGACGCCCTCACCCCGTCTCCACCCCAATGCCGACACTCTTCCTTTTAGCTGGTAGTTGGATTTCATAGTGATTCCTTTGCTTTTGCTTGTACTGTTATCATCTCTAGACAGTACAATTTTTGTCTCTGAAAATCTTACATAAATAGAATCATACATTGTGTATTTCTAATATCTTTCTTCTTTCTGTCAACATTAATATGCATCCGAGTTAGTATCTGATAGAAATTAAGGGTATTAGTGTCTTCATGATATACAATTTTTATTATTTAAAATTTATAGTTTTGTAGCATATGTATTTAATCTTTTTGTATAATTATATCATTATAGACAGGACATAGTTTTAAAAAATCCATTCTGATAGTTTCTGTCTATTAACTGGCACATTCATTTATTTATATATAATTACTGCCAATCCGTGGTGCTTTCCGCTTTTCCCTTTATTGTTTTTCCCTCATGTTTTCTTGTCATTTGGAGGGTTTTTTTTATTCTATTTTTTTTGTTTGTTTGTTTCACCTTGTCTTACTTGAAAGTTTTATCTTCTGTTCTATTATTTTTCAGGCAGTCCTAGGAATTTCAACAAGAAAATTTAACTTATCAAAGCCTGAAGCTAATGTTTTTCCCTTCTCCTGAACCAAGGACTTTAGGATATTGTATAGTTGACTCTGAATGTGTGGGCTCTGCATCCTTGGATTCAAACAATTGCATATTGAAAGTATTTTTTAAAAGATTGTATCTGTACTAAACATACATTTTTCTTCTCATTATTAACTAAACAATACATTAAAACAACTATTTATATGACATTTACACTACAGTAGGTATTAGATGTAATCTAGGCATGATTTAAAATATTCAGGAAGATATTCATAAGTTATGTGCAAGTTCAGATTGAACATCCTTGATCTAGTCAAAAGTCTGCAGTGCCCCCAAATTTGAAACACTTCGAGCATCAACATGATGAGACAAGTGATCACACACCTGACCTTATGTGATGAATTACAGTCCAAACACAGAAACATGAAACACATTGCATAAAATTGCCTTATGCTCTGTGCATAAGGTGTATATGAAACATAAATAAATTTCATGTTTAGACATGGTCCCCATCCCCAAGATATCTAATTATACATGCAAATATATCCAAATAAACAAAATCAAAATCCAAGCCAGGTGTGGTAACACATGCCTGTAATCCCAGCACTTGGAAGACTGAGGCAGAAGGATTGTTGTAAGTTCGAGACCAGCCTGGGCTACAAAGTGAGCTCAAGGCCAGTCTGAACTGCATAGTGAGACCCTGTCTCAAAAAAGACAAAAAAAAAAGAAATTCAAAATCCAAACACCAAGGGATACTCAACCTTTCTATGCCATTTTTTAAAATAAGAGACTTAAGAATCTTCAGGAGGCTCTAGAACCAACCACCCCACCTAGATACTGAGAAACAACTACACCGCATCTAGCACTCAATTCTTGTCCTTTTGCGGTATTGAAGATTTTATTCGATGCTGTCTTTTGGAACCACACAAGCTAGTATTACTGCTTTATCACCATTTTAGTTTTATCCATACATATTGTATATCACTTTCTTTACTCTTCATTTTTCTTGAATCTCAGAATGCAACTACCGAAGAACACTCTTTCGAATTCCATCACTGAAAGCTTGGATAGCTTTGTTTTTGTTGGCACACTTTCCTAAAATAAATTTTAATTGGACGTAGACTTCTACACTGCCATTTATTTTCCTTTACCACATGGAGATCATTCCACTTCCTTCTAGCTTCTATTATTAATTGCTATTGGGAGGTCATCTGCTAGTCTAACTGTTCTCTTTTAAATGTAAAGTGAGCCTTTCCCCCCATTACTGCTCTTCAGATTTCTTTTTTTGTCTTTGGCTTTCTGTAGTTTCACTACGACATGTCTAGGGTGTGCATGTGTGTGTGTGTGTGTGTGAGTTGGTAGGGATCAAACCCAGGGCCTGCAGTGAGGCCAGTTTTCTACCACCAACCTATACTCATCCCCAAGAATTCATTTTTGTAACTGGACTTCTTGGATTTAGCTCTTTATCAGATCCAGAAGACTATCATCCATTATTTCTTTAAATAGTACCTCTGTCTGATCATCTTTCTCTACTCTTTATGTATTTTGAATAAATATATTTTAGACCTTTGTATCATATACTCTCTTCTGTGTACCTTTTAAAAATTTTAAAAAATCTTTTATCCAGGGTTTAAGTTCTCTATTTGGGTCTAAGCTACTTTTATTATCTTTTAGGTTCTTATTTCAGTTATAGTTTTCATTTCTACAAGTTTATTTTTTCATTAAAATCTGATATATCATTTTCTATTTCCTCTACATATTTTCAAGCTGATCTTTCATTGTCATAAACATGCTAGATTACTTCAGTTTTAAAGTTTTGCAGGTCTTTTACTAACTAGACATCATTCCTCTTGGTTTTCAGTTATGGTGTCAGGTTTCCCTGTGTTTTTGTTATTTTTCACTGTGTTCTATTAACCAAACTTAAAAAATAATGTCTATGCACTGAATGCGGTGGCACAGCCTGTGATTCCAGCACACCTGGAGGCAGAGGGAAGAAAATCACAAGTTCAGTCCCAGCCTGATCAGCTTAGCCAGACCTCCTCTCAAAAAAAATTTAAAAATGGACTGGGAAAGTAGCTCCCTGCTGAGGGTTCAATCCTCTGCACATGGGGTAGGGCAGTGGAGAAGAGGAAAAATGTGTATGAGTAAGATTCTTGCTATCCCTGAGATTCTGTATCACCCAAAAGAAACAAACTGATCTCAGTAATTTAATTTCTGAGAATTTGTTCTGAGAAACTATACTTAGATACAAACACACAAAGCTATTCAAAGAAATGCTATTTAGCATGGAAAAAAGTCAATAATAGACTTCAATCTATGTCTAATGATGGAAATGGTTAAATACTCTATAAGAGCAGGTTGTGGTGGTGCAACCCATAATCCCAGCACTCAGGAGGCTGAGTAGGAGTCAGGAGGATCATTGTGAGTTTGAGGCCAGCCTGGGCTACAAAGTGAGCTCATGGCCAGCCTGAACTGCATGGTGAGACCCTGTCTCAAAAAGACCAAAAAAAAAAAAAAAAAAAAAACCAACCAAAAAAAAAACCTCTATAAGAAACAGTGTATAGCTATTAAAATAATGTAACTTACGTAGTATAGAAAATATAATTTTATACTAAATTTAAAAAGAGAAAATTGCATGTACGATATGAATACAAGAATGTTAAAATATATATGTGCAAGGAGAGAAACCTAGGACAGCGCTACCTAGTAGAACCCTGGAGACAACAATAATGTTCTGGGTCTGCTCCGCAGTACGGCAGCCGTGCGTCAAACACGCCTGTGTAGGGCTCAAGATGCGCCTGATGTGACTGATCCATTACATTTTACACTGTATTTCATTTCAATTTAAATAAATTTAAGTAGACATATGGAATAGTGCTACCATATTGTACAAGTCTAGAATATACTGAAATATTAATGTTTTCAGGAAAATGGTTTGGCTGTTTGGTGATTTCCTCCCCCTCTTTTTAATTTTCTAAGGGTTCCAAATGTTCTTTAAGGTGCAGCTATCATATATGAAGGTAAAAGACTTTATCCTAAACATCTGGAAGATATTATTTCAAAAGCTAGTACGAACTGAAATGTCAAGTAGTAAATGTGTCATGAGAGCTTTTGTAATTTCAAGTGAAACTGATTTTTGTAAAAGAGTAAATAAAAAATTACAAGTGAGTTACCTTTCCACATGCTTTCCTAGAATCACAAGAAACAATGGACATGTTACTCTGTATTAGTTGGAAATAAAATGGTTCATCATCAGGTGACTTTCTTTCTGGAATATCCACGGAAAGTTGATAAGAAATAGTTCTGACATTCTTTGAATCTAATGGGAAAAAGATCACAAAAATGTTTTAGATTTTCTAAAACCATTCTTCTAAAATAAAATTCAAACCCCATTACAAATGCTTTGATTTATTAGACATTTTTTAGTTGTTATTTGTTGCTTGTTTGTTTGTTTTTTGAGAGAGGGTCTCATTATATAGTCCAGGCTGGCCTCAAACTCATGGCAGTCCTGCCTCAGCCTCCCGGGTGCTTGGATTACAGGTGTGCGCCACCACGCCTGGTTAGATATTTTTTAAAGAAAGTAAAATGAGGGCCTATATTAAGTTAGTGAGGAACTACTTTGTTAGAAAAAATAAACACATTACTTGACTTGAAAAATGGCAATTATTGTTAAGTAGAGTTGTTCAACCCTTTGTTTTAGTCACAAACAGTTGAATATCAAATGTTACACAGCAGTAAGGACTTAGTTATAAAAATGTCTTCCTCTAAATGGTTCTGAGTGGAAGATGAAAGAGCCTGCTGCTCAGAAAGTAACTGATTAAGGAACTGATTAAGGAACTGATCCAGAATCAGATAGCCTATAAGGAGGAAAGTCAAACTATAAATCTAGGACTTCTCATTCTAAAATCAAGGGTCATCCATCTTGGTCAGTACTGCACATACCGGACATAGCCAAGATGTGAAGAAGGTAATGTGATTTATTTTTGACAGCTACGCCCTACTCAAGCTTGGAAACAAAGTGGAGTATGCACTTCATGAAACAAGAGACAGTAAATCTGAAAGTTCCTTGCTGCTGTCTATAAATGCGCTAGCATATTGCTAAGAACAAAGAGATGCAGACTAAGAATTCCAAAAGTCAGACAGCTGAAACATCAGATTTTTTTAGCCATTTTGACTGATACAGAGTTTATGTTACTTAAAAATGAAAATTTTCAATATTACTTTTAAATACACTAATTTTATCTTTTCATAAAACACGCGGGCTTCCTCATGTTTCACGGTTGGGTTATAACACTAATGTCAGTGAACTCACCTTCCACAGATGCATTTGTCGATTCACGTACTGCAGCGAAATGTCTGGCAATTTGTCGCTCCTGTTTCCTGCAAAGTCAGAGACATCATGGAGAAATCCGAAATGCGGCTGAAGCTTCAGCAGTATACTACAAATTTCAACTGTTCAAATGCTATTGTTATTTTGATCTATTATTACTTATGAAATGAAGCTTTCAGTGGGTAAATTTCTCCACAACTGGAATCCTAAATTGCCCCAATAATTTGGGATTAGTAGAGTCTACTTAAAATCAGTGAGTTCATTCCATTTCCTGGGAACTTTTGAATCTCATGACACTCATCAGAAATTGCTTTTTTTTTTTTTTTGGTACCAGGAATTGAACTCGGAACCTTGTGCTTGCCAGGCAGGCGTTTGTCCTGATACGCTATATCCCTTTCCCCAGAAATTGTAATAGGCTTGCATGTTTGCTTTGGCCAATTTTTCTTTCTTTACAGGGAACACATCTTCACAATTAACTCTTAAAAAAAAGGGGTCATAGGTGACCCTGTCTCAAAAAACAAAAAACAAGCCGGGCATGGTGGTGCACACCTGTAATCCCAGCACTCGGGAGGCTGAGGCAGGAGGATCATTGTGAGTTCGAGACCAGTCTGGGCTACAAAGTGAGCTCAAGACCAACCTGAACTGCATAGCGAGACCCTGTCTCAAAAAGACAGAAAAACAACGACAACAACAACAACAAGAAGTCTCCCCATCCTGTACTGAGGACTCAATCCACTGCCTTCACACTGACAAATATCCCTAATCCTTTTTCATTTTTAAAATTTTGAGGCAGGGTCTCCCTAGGTCACTAAGTTGCCCAGGCTGGGCTTGAACTGCTGATTTCCGATGAGGTTGTCCTGTCTGAATCTCAGTATCCAGGGCTCAGTCTTACCTTCGCAGGGCTTTTTCTTTTGCCTTGATTCTATCAATTTCAGTGCCGTGGGCTTCGTGAGGTTTAATGCTGATTAGTTCAGGTTTAGCGCTTTTGATTTTTCGTTTTTCTTCACAGATATAGTCAATCAGATTTTGGAATCGAGGGCAACAGGAAGTCTGAAAATACAAAGAAGTCATTTGCATCTCATCTGCCCTAGATGAAGGTGATTAGAGGGGACAAGAGCCAAAAGCAGCTAATGGGGATTGTGTGACAGTCTACCATAACTCTTTTTTGCTGTCTGAAGCTTTACTAAGATGTAACTCACATTCTATGTGCTTCACTCACTTAAAAGGTGTAATTTAACTGTTTTTGTTTTCAGTTTAGTATGTTGAGACCCGTGCAGCTATCCCCACAGTCAGTGTTAGCCATCACCGTTCAGCAGTTGCTTCCCCTCCATCCAGCTTCTGGAAACCACTGGGCTGCTTCGTGCTTCTCTCTGGCCTGTTCTTCAGGGTTCCCATAAGTGGAACCCGCACATGTACTTCCTCACTGGCTTCTCTCACTTAGCGTCGTGTCTTCAGGGCTCATCGGTGTTGTAGCACACTTCGGGACTCACTTCTTTGCTGGCTGAATATATTTCATTATATGGCTATACCTCATTTTATTTATTTGTCCGCTGGTGGATAATTGGATTGTTACCACTTTCTGTCTCGTAAGAATCATGCTGCTTTGAATGTGTGTGTACAAGTTTTTGTGTGGACATTGTCATGTTTGTGTGGCCATATCTATTTTCATAGGTATAAGTTTAGTAATGGAATCACTAGGTCATGTGCTAACTCTATGTTTAACATTTCAAGAAACTGCCAGACTGTTTCCCAAAGAAGCTGCACCATTTTCTACTCTTCTTTAGCAGTGTATGTTGGTTGTAATTTCTCTACATCTTTGCCAACACTTGTTATTATCATTTTTTAAATTAGAACCATTCTAGTGAATGTGAACGGGTTTGTCACCGTGGTTGTGAATTGCATTTCCTTGTTTTAAGAATGGCAGTTTATGGGAAAGAGGCAAAAATAAATACTACAAATGTTTAAAAATAACACTATTTCCTCAGCCCACCTGTTTTAGAACTTACACATGCTTCTGGTTCAGAGTAGATGCAGTCCACACTGGAAAAAAATTCCCGGAGATCACTTCCACAGAATTCACACGTGGGTGACAGCTCCTCCTCCTCCTCAAGAGAGAGAGGGAGAGAGAGATGAAGTGCACACAGAGGCCCTGCAGCTCTGAGAGCAGCCAGAGCTAGGGCCTGGGCAGAGCCAGTGAGTGTCCGCCAGGACAGCAGGGGTGAGGGGGACAGCAGAGGTGAGGCAGGCTGGGCAAGCTTGTGTGAAGACTCCTGTGAGACCCCCAAGGGGTCCCAGAGTACTTGGTGGAGAATTTTTCAAGGTGCTGAGATTCTGTACCAGCAGGCATGAGCCAGTGGGATGTTTGTTTTAGCATGTGACGTCACTTCTACTCGAGGGCTGGCGGAGCATGGGAAGAGGACCACCGCAGCCACCGTGCAGGGTCAGCACAGCTGGGCCTCCCAGGAGCTGTGCAAGTCTTCAGCATAAGAGGAAATCTGCAGAAGTGACTGCTGACACTACGGTCCTTGAGGGGAGGAGGCTATGCAGGATGTAACTACATGCAAGAGGCCAGGCTTACACACTCAACTTTATGAAAAGACTCTCAGGTGTTTGAATACCATTAACGTCTTCAGTAAGTGCTAGGTTGGAAAAAGTCTTGACATTACTCTGTAGGCCACCATAAACAACTATCAACTTTCAAAAATGAATGAAAGTCCCTTCTCAAGGGCAGCCTCATGTGGGATCTCTGAATCCTATCTATGCTCTGAGGGTAATTCAGGAACAGGGGAATCAAACAGGAGAGATAGAATTACTGAATTTCCCCACAAAATAAGACCAGGTCTCATATCAGTCTTTGCTTCAAAAGACACAATAGGGCTTATTTTCAGGGCATGTCTTATTTTTTCTTTCACAACAATGTACTTTTATTCATGTATAAAAATCTACATGTATTCAAATACAGTGATGTCATCTTCTTCAGGAACACCATCATAACTCTCTAAACCCTGGATTCTGACCTCAATTTCTTGTGATTCCATTTCCTGTAGAATGATTCAGTCTGACTTGGTTACCTTTCCTCACTGCTGAGACAAAATACCTGACACCCAAAGTTAAAGGAGAACAGGTTTATTTAACTCACAGCTTGTAGAGGTTTCAGTCCATAGTCAGCTGGTTCCAAGGCAGGGAGGAGCACATTAGCCCTCTTTCTTTCCCTTATGGTTGATGCAGGCTACCTGCCCTAGGATGGGTGTAGCATTCACACCCTTAACCCTAGCCGGAACTATGCCAAACCAACCAGTGGAGTAATTTACTAACCACACACTCTTAATCCCAGCCCCACACACTCCAGATCCAGCCACCTCTAAACAGCCTCCCTCCCACATGCATTAGGCTTGGGGGGGCATTAGACACAGCTATCCCCTAATCTCTCCTGTCCAGCACCAGACTCTCCTTAAATGAGCACATCTTGGCCATGTAGCCTGCACGACACACGACATCCTTCAGGGCACACGTTATTTGTATGTGTGTCTGTACCCTGACTGGTCATTCAGCAGTAAGTCTCCAGTTTCCCTGTTCACATAGGTGTTAACCTCTCTAGGTGCACCGCTTAGGTATCAATTATAATTCATATTATTATTTAAGTATTAACATCAATGATAATATTTATTTATATTTAATTCTATATTAATATTATCATTTCATAATTCACTATGTCCATTGCATGTTGCAACGGATGTACTAAATGCATCCATCTGGCTGACAGTCTTAACTGGGGGTTATTTTGGGGTAGGGCTTGGATCATGAGCATCCTGAAAAATCGCACTACGGCTTGTTTTCCAGTTAGGTCTTATGTAGGGGAAATACAGTAGAGGCTCACACGATTCCATGAGGGTTGGTACACTGTGGCCACATCAGTGACCTGAGGTCATGTCTGTGACTGCAGAATCCCTCAGGCAGGCTAGCATCAGTATAGGCCTCCAGGAAAAGACTCAGATCGTGACCTGCAGATCACGAATATTACCAGGGCATCTGTATTTGCCGTGAAAACCATCCTCAGAGACTGGCAAAAACGCCAATAGGACTAAAGGTGGCTGAGGTAGACAGTGCAGCCAGGAATTCTCTGCTCAGGTACTGTCCACCAATTTCAGGCCACTGGAGTACTATCCATTGCTGAAAGTAGAATGCTTGGAAGGCAGCCGCACCCCAGAGAGCTGATAGTAAAACCCAGGGTAGCTGTCAAACGATGGAGCAGGGCAGACGGAGAACTGGACAACGACAGGCCCACCCACAACCTGTTCCACATGAGGGCCTCGGTAGCGAATTCTTCATGATCTCTTTAGCAGGGGGTGCAGCAAGGGGGATCTTCAGACGATCTCTGAGGACATTGGAATCCGGCCCTGAAAAGGGTGTGGCTGGAGAGGAGTGCTGGCCCTGAACTAGACCAGACCGTCACACTGGAGCTGCAAGGCTGCCTGCCGAGCATGGAGGACCAGGCGCCAGTGCAGGGACACTGCCCTGAGGAGAGACTGTAAGGGCTTTGTCATGTTCAGGCCCATCGCTGGGTGTCAGGAAGAGAGGGTAACCCCTGTTCAAGAGACTTCTCTGGATACCAGACTCTGTGGTTCAGAGAAAGGAAGGTGATATATTCAGGTAAAGAATTTCAAACCTAAAGAGTTAAGAGGGTGACCACAGAGTTCAGAAACCCAGGCCAGTACAAGCAGCAAACAGTAACTGACAGCACGTCACATGGCACGCTCTCGAGTGTGCTCCTTCAGTACTGCATAGCTCAGCGCTGCCCACGCCCCAGCAGCGCAGCACACAGGCTTTGCATCGCTCCCTGCACACCAGCTGTGACGCACTGCTTCGCACATCCTGTCTCCTCTTGTTAAGGTATAAACCTGTGCCTTTCCTGTGCCCCAGCAGTCACCAAGGGATTCAGAGTTGGAGTACACAATTCTCTTGCACGTCACAGTATCCGCCCCAGGCTGGAACACGATCATCCTACCAGTCATTTCTTCACCACTCTGGGGTGGTGGGGTTGAGTTCTATCCTGCTGGAATCACTGCGGTAACCTTTACTTCACCCATCAAGCACAGGCATTAATTGACCGCTTAATTAAAAATGGCAAACATTGGGCCTAAGTTTCTCGGCTTTGTCACTGCTGCTATGGGTTGAATTGTGTCCCCTCCCCTTTCAAAAGATATGGTGCCATCCTAAGTCTTGGTACCTGTGAATATAACTTTATTTAGTCTTTGCAGAGGTCATCACGTTAGAATAAGGTTTCTGGGGTGGATCCAAATCTGGTATGAGTGAGGTCTTAGGAAAGGAGGACATTTGGACCCAAAGAATCAGAGAGAACCGTGAAAGCTGAGGTGGAGGTTGGAGTCATGCAGCTGCGAGCCAAGGAGTACTGGACTCCCACCAGGAAATGAGGAAGGATTTTCCTCTCTACTGGGGAGGCCTGCCCATACCTTGATCTCACACTTCTAGCCTCCAGAAATGAGAGACAGTGAGTTTCTTTTGTTTTAAGCCACTTGGCTGTGATACTTTCTTAAAACATCCCTAACTAATAAACACGCCATCCTAAGGCCTATTCCAAGTTCATGAACGCTGCCTTTTTTTTTTTTTTTTTTTGACACAAGGTCTCGCTATGCAGTCCAGACTGGTCTTGAACTTACTATGTAACCTAGGCTGGCATCAAATTCAGCTACCTTCCTGCTTCAGCCTCCCAAGTGCTGGGATTACAGGTGTGTACCACCTTGCCTGCACTTTGCCTTTTTAACAAATATGCTCACCATTTTCACTTCATGGCATTTCATGTCATTTTACAACGACAATCAGAATACGAATTGAAATCACCTTGAGGTTAATGTCTAAGTTGGACTGCTCTTGTCTGTATGCCAGGATGGTTGGTGGCCCAACGCTGGGTAGTGTTCTTAGTGAAGGCTCAAACAGTGCAATGAAGTCATCTTTAAACTGCATTTTTACAAAGAGAAAGAGAAAGAAAACAATTATTGATTAAATAAGCCTTTTTTCCATGAGAACAGTGTGCTAGTTTGGTATGGTGAACATTTCTTACCTCCAGCTCACATAAAATACTTAGTTTGGTCTCTTCTGGATTAATTACCCATTTTTCTGAGGAGAAAGGATAGATTTAGCAGGAAAGTTAAGAATCTTTGTGCAGTGTATTCCATTTTTTTTCTAGTTTGGAGGCCCTCTTCCCATTCTCCTATCCTATCTCTCTCTCACACACACACTCACACACACTCACACACACTCATATGCACAGTTTACACACCCAGCCCCTTCATTCTGACCACCTTTCACTGTACACAGTAATTTTCTTTGGCCAGCAAAAGGGGCTGAGACAAACCTCCATTTACCTCTTAGACTGGAAGCCAGATCTTCAGGGGTAGCTTCCTTGACTTGAGGGATTGGTTTCTTTGCTTTAAAAAAAAAAAAAAATGCATACATTTATCATCAATGCTGATGAAATAGAGATAAGTTGAACATAAAACAAAGTTTGTCTCTGGGAAAAATAAATATCCTTATTGTGTATCCTTATCTTTTAAGGCTTTTTTTGGTCTTCTTCCAAATAACACTGTGTCAACAATAAGTAACAAAGACAGAAAATTCACCACCTCTGCAACACATGTTTACCTGTTCCTTTCTATCCCGGTAGGACTACAGGGGTGGATATTTTATTTACAGTCATGCTTGTGAGCCCTCTTGTTTGCTATTTCATCTGAATGCCATCTGTCTATTTTAGGTCTGCTATCCCTATGAATTTTCCAGGCAGGAAGTTCCCGAGCCATCAGGCTTCCAGTTAAAGACGGCCAACCTCCCAGAGCCCTCACTCCCAAATGTCATCACATTTGTGCTTAGACTTTTTTAACATGAATTTCAGGGCAGCACAGTTGGACTATAGCGTTCCTTCTCTGGCCCCATAATGATCACATCCTTCTCACAGGCAAAGTACCTTCATCCCACCCTAATAGCCCTAAGAGTCTGAACTCATTCCAGCATCAGCTTTGAAGTTCAAGTTCAAAGTCTCATCTGTGTCGTCTAGCTCAGGTGTGATTGAGTTCAAGGTATGATTCATGAGGAAAACTGTTCCCCAGCTGTTCACCTGTGTAATCAAACATGTACCAAGTATGACTGAAAATACCGTGAATGTTTAAGTTTTTAATAATGTATTACAGTAAAGGACATACTGCATTAACCCCCTCCAAAACACTTCCCCTCACTTTGAACGCACTTACTGCATCTTTCTTGCCACTTTCTGATGCAGTTCTGGCGATCCTCTTTGGTGACTGTCTTCAGATGTGTGTTGTGGCTGCTTCAGTGTCCTGAATAGATTCAAAATGTTCACCTTTCATGGCTATTTTGACTTGGAGAAGAGCCAGAAGTTGCCTGGTGCCGGTGAATGATGTGGATGGAGACACACCGTGGAGCTTTTTACAAGCCTGCCTTTTTGTTAGATGGCGCTGGGCAGCGGTTTTTTGTCACAGCTGATAGAGACACTCATGAAAGAGGACTTCCAGAACAGCTCCAGAAATTGGACTACCAATGGGATACATGTGTTTGAAGCCAGGGGGAATTAGTAACAATATGCCTTTTACTGTAATACATTTTTAAAAATTCAAATATTCAGTGTATATTTTGAGCACGTTGGACATGGTGAGACAGATCGAAGAAAGGTATTTCACGTCACAGGGAGAAACAGAGAAGAATAGAGGTAACAGGTCCTAAGTAAGGCTGAAACCCATCAGGGTAAAGAGCAGTCCTCTTTGGCCGCATGTTGTCTTCTAGGCTCACTGAGGAAGAGTTCTCACCTCTCAGGCTCCCTGCGGGGTGGCTGGACCCCCAGCAGCTCTCTGTGAGAACAATAAAGCCCAGGCTCCAGGTGGCTGCGACCTTTGAGATCCGGGCGGAGGCAGGCATAGCCCTCGCTGCTTGTGTACTCTGTAAGCTGGTGGAGACAGCGCCATGAGGACAGCACTGCAGTTTACCACCGTGCCCTGCAGGGGGCAGCGATCACGGCCTGTGCTACCCTTGGGCAGGCTGGAGCGTGACCTGGGCAGCCAAGAAACAAGGCAGCAGAACGTGGAGAGAAGAGCCTTGAAATTATTCTGCTCCCCCAGCCCAGTACTCAGGGCCTGTGCTGGGAGGCGCAGCCCTGATGACCTCCAAGCTGCCTTTAGCGTCATCCTTCGACTTGGACAGTAGTCTTGGTCTGTGTTTAGATGGCATTTAAACTCCACACTTACTGTGGAATCGCTGGCTTGGTTGAGACGGCCCTTCCAAACTAATCTCCTGAGAAAATTTGGCCACCCTTCTTGTTCTTTCTTGAACAAACTTTCTCATTTTTTCCAATACGGATAGGGTGAGAATTTACCAAAAATTTTAAGTTTGCCTCCCCTTTACCTAACAATTCTGTTTTTAAGGCATTCCTCTCTCTTCGCACTGTAAAATAAGCACTCAAAAGAAGTTAAACTGAACTTTCAACACTTTTTTATAGACTTATTTTTTGTTTTGCTTTGTTTTTGTTTTTTGAGACAGGGTCTTGCTATGTTGTTCAGGGTCTGGAATTCACTGCGTAGCCCAGGTTGGCCCCAAACTTGTGGCGATCCGCTTGCCTCAGTTCCCGAGTGGTGGGATTATAGACTATTTATAGATTTCTTAAGTCATATACTCAATTTCATCGTTCACAAGTTCTACTCTCCACAGAACACCAGGACACAAGCACAATTCAGCAAAGCTCTTTGCTGCTTTATAGCAAGGGTGACTTTTTCTTCATTGTCCGATAACGTGTTCCCTATTTTCATGTGAGACCTCATCATCTTTTCATCTGAGATGTTTATTATCTATATTTCTACCATTTTCATCATGGCCAGTTAGATATTTCCTAAGAAGACTGAAATTTTCTCTCCAGTTCTTGTTTTATGAACCCTAACCATGATAATTATATAAAATAATAAGATATGGTAGAGTTTTCATCTCCCAGACTGTCAAATATTTTGAAGAGTGACAATATCAAGTACTGGGAAGGGCAAGAAAAGAATGGTCTCAACAACTCTTGGTGGAAGCATACACTGGCTTAACTTTTGAGGAAGGCAATGATCAAAATATGTAACTTTTTACCCTACAATGACACTTTCTTGACATCTATCTTGGAGAAATATTTCAATGTTGTTATGGTTGATACATTGTGTCAACTTGGGGAGTCTAGTGTTTGGCTAAATAACTCAGTAGTTCCTCATCTTGGGGTGAAAAGGACATGCCCTTACCCTCTGGGATGTTGTTCATTGTGTCCATTTAAAAAGTTTAAAAGGTTAACTATGTGACTCAGCAGGGAGCCAGGGTGCTTACTGTACATACATCCTCAGCCTGTACAAGAAGAGGGCATAGAGATTATGTGACTGCTACACCCCCCGTGGGTGGGGTAGTCTGCTTACAATTTAAAAAAAAAAGAGGCTTGCTCTTCTCTGCCACTTCTCCTTTGTGCTCTTGTTGCTTTTGCTGTCTTCTGCCACCATAAACTGTTGCCCTCTGCCATGTGCCACTCTGCCTTGGAGCCAGCCAAATATAAATTAAAACCTCCACAAACTGTGAGCTGAATAAACTTTCCTTCCTTCATTTTGGGCATTGGGTAGTTTGTCTCAGCAATAAAAAAAAATATAACCAAGACACATGTGTACACAAAAAGGAGATTTACGGAAACATTGTGTAAGTAAAAATCTGGAAATGACTTTACACATCAGTTAGGGAATCTTTAAATAAATAACTGTACATCTACACTGCATACTATTACAAAACAATTAGTAAGAATGAGGAAATTCTGCATTTACTGACCTGGAAAAATTTCTAAAGGATAGTATTAATGGAAAAAGCAAGTGAAACAACGTATTCAGGGTGATACCATTCATATAAACTTGAAGAAAAAAACTAAAAGGGCTAAACTGTCTATTCTAAATGAATGTAAAAGGGGCTGGGGATTTAGCTCAGTGGCAAAGCGCCTGCTTGGCAAGCGCAAGGTCGTGAGTTCGGTCCCCGGTACTGGAGAAAAACCAAAAAAAAAAAAAAAAAAAAAAAAAAGAATGTAAAAAATTAGAAAAATATTTGGAAGGTATATAACAGAAGAGTGGTAACCTCTGAAATTGAAGGTAGTTGTCACTGTCTTTTGACTTTGTAAAAATTAGACCATGTTTATATATTGGCTATACCATTAAAAGCTTAATAACGAAGAGGGAATGTGGGGTGTGAGTCTGTACGTACTTCTGTACTACCCTATTACGCACTTATTTCAGCTCCCTTCTCTGTCTCCCTTGAATCCACAGCAATCAGGTTTTCATGCCCACAGTTACACTGCAGCAGGTCCTGTCACCACTACCAATGACCTCACGTACTGCTGCAACACCTTTTCAGTTCTCATCCTCCTGACCTAAGCGCTGTTTGACCCTGTTATCATTTCCTTCTCCTTCAGACACTTTCCTGGCATCCAGGAAAGTTTAGCAGATTTTCTTCTATATCAAGTGTCCTTTTCATCAGTCTCCATCTCGTGTCCCCAAGTTCACAACGGAATGCTCTGGCCTCTGGTTAGATTGTGTCAGTCCTCCGCACAGCTCCTCCAGGGACTTCCCACTTTGCTACCGGTGAAAGATTTAGTGCTCATTATCTCTGTGAACTTATCCCCTGGGGTTCCCCTCCTTGTCTCCTCACTGCAGCAATACCGGCCTCCTCCTTGCTCTAGAAGGAGGCACCTGCTGTCCCCTTTGCCCGACACTCTTCCTTCACAGCTTGTCATGGGTCCTTCTCTCTCTTCTTCAGGTTTTTGCTCAAATATCTCAGCTTCCTGGTGAAGACTTCCCTGAGGCGCCCTGTGCAAGCTCACAGCCTTCTATTTTTTTAGTACTTACATCATCTACTGTATTACACACTTATATATGTATTTTGTAAATTATCCCTTTCACACACTTTGATGCAAGATCAGTGGGACAAGGGATTCCATTGCTCTGCTCACTTTTAGTTCACTTGAAGGGAGGCTTGCTCAAAAGCACTGGAGAAGTAAACGATGCACTATAGAACTTGAATATAACAGCTGAAAGACAAAACTATTTATGATGGTACTTCTGAGGAATACTGTAAATTTTTTGTTTTTACATTATTGTATTTACTAATGTTTTGACATCTTAAAAACCATGTACATATGTCACTTCTATAATAAAAAGTATACACCAAAATATAATGGTACATTATTTTTTAGTGGACATAAATGCTACCATTTATTGACTATTAGATGCCAGGGAGTTTTCTTAATCTCATTTTGATTATCATAAAAACCCTGTGACAATATTATCATTACTGAGCGATGAACACTCTGAGACTCAGTGAGACTAAGTAATTTACCCAATATCCCAATGTTATTTCATACTGCAGCTAAGATTCAAAGCTAACTCTATTCCTCCACTCCTGTGGTATTTCCAATATGCAGGAAAAGCTAGGAAATCAAACTACTCACTCTGGCTCTTTTTTTCAGACAAATCTTGAAGCCAACTTTCTTCAGTTTGTACTGCCATTGGGATTCCTGGATATAAATTTTTATACATATTTCTGAAATTTAGATAAAAACATTAGTTTTAAATATACCCACATGGTTGTTAGCAAGTCTACTAAATATAGTACATTTAATAATAAATAACAAATACATACAGGTGATCCTCAATCTATTTTCCTTGAAATGTTTTTTTCCAGTCCTAACTTTTCAGTAAAGTTAGGCACAGATGTACCTCAAGTCTGTACTTTGGAAACTCTTCCTTTCTAAATGTTGGAGGTTTCTAGTGTCATATTGTTTTCTCAGGGATTTCCTAGGACTCTAACTGTTGCTTGTTGTGGCGTATGCACTTCAGTGTTGACTTTAAAGTGGTACAAATTGTTCATTTTCAATAGCTTCCAAATAATCCAAGCCGCTTTTAAAGGGCTGATGTTAAATTAAGTGCATTGTATTTAAATGATCTGTATTCTTTCTTTGAGTAGTTTAATCAGTTGAGTTATCCCTGACACGATAGAAAGACAGAAACTTCACTTCTACTAGTTAAAATAACTCTTCCTGGTAATAAATAAATAATATTGCTTTTTCAAGCTCCTGCATCTGTCTTAATTTCAATTTTCAAAAAATTTTTTGTGTGTCTTCTAAAATAATCAAATAATAGTTTTTCAAACAACTTAGTCTATTTTAGTATTGTCACTCTTGTTCTTTTATGTCTCTATCCACCTTCTTTTTCTTTTTCTTTTTTTTTTTCTTTTTTTTTTTCTTTTTTTTTTTTTGCTATTTTTCCTGTACCGGGAATCCAACTCACGACCTCACGCTTGCCAGGCAGGCGCTGTGCCGCTGAGCTAAATCCCCAGCCCAACCTTCTTTTTCTTATTGGTGCAAAGCGAAAGCTTATTTAAAGTGTGGCAAATGCACAGGAAGCAGAAGAGCTGTCCTAACAGGAGGGTGCGGCGAGATCACGCTCCCCGCGCAGGACGCCCGGGTCGGGGAGACGCGCCCGCCTTTCTGAGTGCTTTGCTCCAGGGCACATTGCGTCAGCGGAGTGCTTTGTTTCTCAGGTCTGCAATGACTGTGTCCCGTAATAGGTAAACGACTCTGCAGAGGCCACCTGCGCCGCTCCCCGAGGAAGCCCTGTTTATCTGAGCTTCCAGAGAAACGCGCTGTAGGGACGGAGAGTTAAGCAACATGAAGAGAATCTCCAGACAACATTTAACGTGTATTTTTTCCAGTTCAGTGGTTTAAAAATCAACACCTCATTCCTTATTCATTTTGCTTTTCTTAACCTAACATCAAAGATTGTTTCTGGAATTGTGTATAAAAATGGTAGACGGAGGATGGTAACAAAATTAGCCTTGCTGAGAACGCATCACAGCAGTGGGGAGTCGCTTTTACTCACATTGAGCCACTTATCTTTACAAAAGCCAAGCAAAGGGGAGATTCATATTTTGTTTTTCCATGCAAAGAAACCCAGGCTCATGGAGACCAGGGAACTTCTCAGTCATCCCTATTCTTCTCTCAGGCTCCAAAATCTGTATCTCCACATTCATCTGCCTTCTAAAGTTTGTCCCATTTTCAACCAGAATAGTAATAAGGTAACTGAAACTGAACCAACACTGGTCGTACTTTTAGGATATGTTTCTTTAAAAAACATTCATAATCTCATCAAGTTTACCAAGGAGTGCTTTGAGATAGCTATCTATATCATCTATATCTATATCTACACAAATTAAGACTGATCTAGGAAAGAGAGATTTCCATGGACTGAAATTGTGTAATAGCAATTCCAGGTCAAGGTTGCAGCTGTGTATGCAATTTCCTCCCTCCCCTCCCCTTTCCTCTCCTTTCCCTTTGAAGATCTCACTGAAATAACAGGTACTTTAAACAAACAATCAGCCCTGGAAAACAAGTTATAATTAGTGGATAAGCACTACTGAAGAAGTCCTTAAAAGAAAGGACATACTTGACTACAGGCTGAGGGAAGCCGGAGCAGAGCACACTACAGCTCAAGACGAGCAAAGTATTTTTCAAAAGGGAATTTAGCTCCTGAGAAACCTCTTCAGAGGTGGTGGACGTAGGGCAAGTGTGCCACCGCCAGCTGTTTGTCATCACTGGAAGCTCCAGAACGTTCGCCATCACTGCTCAAGCAAACACAGAAAGGGGGAATCTGGCAACTGTCATCACAGTAGTTCAAGGGGTGAACTGGGCACCAGTGGCTAGGCAGGTCTCTTCCTCTCCCTTTCTACAGGACAGATGGCAGCAGTTTTAATATCTAAAGGAGCCCCCAAAACAGCTAAAAACCATGGGCAACCTGCTCGGGGAGGTTTTAGTCCTGAGAGACAGGCAGAGTAGGGTATGAGATTACTCTGGACTTATCTAATAGGTTTGGGAGAAAAACGAAGAGATATTCCACTCACAGCAGAGTGTTTTGTTCCTAACTCCAGAAATAGTCAGGTTGCCCAGCTTAACTGCTTCCTGCCCAGACACTCCACAGGAGGTCAGCTCCCACATACCCCACCCACAGCACAAGGTCCTGAGCACTGCTCCCCCAAAGCCTGAAGCCCTCAGCTGCAGGAAGCTTCCATTTTAGCTATCAGTCATTCATTTAGACATATAGACGGACATATAGATGCGTCACCAAGGATTTCAGGTAATTAAGGATAACCAGTAGCACAAAAAAGAACAGAGCAAGATAAATAGAACCAACACTGCCCCCAAAGAAATAAGGAATACATAGAACAAAGGAGAACTTTAATATAATAGTGCTCTCAACAAAACTTTAAAAAACCAATGAACTATTTTAAACAGAAACAATCATGGACCATTGGTTATTTTGTTTTTTTAATCCCAAATAAAAAAAAATCTGTACAAGGACTGTATAATAATATAAAGACATCAAAAATCTTGAAGACACTGAGAATATAAAGGAAAGTTATGAAAGATGGAGAGTCTATCTCAGAGGTCCAGCAGTCTCTAGCTAGCATTCAGAAGCGAGGATGATTAAAATGCGGAGAGGAAATAATCAGCTATCAGAAGGTTTGCAAGTCAGACTGATCAATACTGGATACTAGCAGGCAATGAAGACTCACCTTCAAAACTCTGAGGGAAAATGGTTTTAAACTCATTCTTTTATGCTAGATTATTATTAATAAATAAAGTATAAAGGCAAAATGAAGGCCAGCAATCAGAAATTTGACTGCCCATGAGAGATTTATATGAAAAAATCACTCCAGGAATTTCTCCAGCAAAGGGAAAAGGAATGAAAGAAAAGTGGATATCAAGGAAACCTGTCTGCTGGGGATTTAGCTCAGTGGCATAGCATTTATGGGACAAGCATGAAGTCCAGATTTCAATTCCCAGTACAAAAAAAAAAAAAAAAAAAAAAAAAAGAAGAGAAAATATGGCCTTTGAGTCTAACCAAGAAGTGGAGACAACTGAAAACAACTGAGTTGACAATTTCCCTTTTTAGGAGATAATTTTTAAAGACATGGAATTATTTTCTTATCCCTGAATCTGATCACAATGGGTTTAACATAAAAGTATATGTGTTGTACATGGTTTTCAATTTCTAAGTCAATGCATACTTTGAACACTAAGGGTTACTTATAATCAACAAAACATAATATAAACAATAGAACTTTGTACAGTAATATAATTTCATATGAATGTATGTGTTAATATAACTTTTTTATATTATGTATAATTTAATGTAAGAAGAATACAGGTTAGACAAGAGGTAGAAAGAAGTGCATTATTGTGTTAATTTTTCATAATAGACTCCAATATATATTTTCTAAAGTTGATAAATCAAGGAAAAAAGGTTTATGTACTTTAAAGTCTTAAATGCTGGAAAAACTAAAAATAATATAATTACTAAAAATGTAGATATAAAGAGTCAAGGGGCTGAGGATTTAGCTCAGTGGCACAGCACCTGCCTGAAAAGTGCAAGGTTGTGAGTTTGATTCTCGGTACTGGAAAAAAAAAAACCCAAAAAAATAAAGGAGTCAAGAGTTTTGTCAGAAACTGATAAATCAGGGGATGAAAATGTTACTTAAAATTAAATGGAGCGCTGGGCATGATGGCGCACGCCTGTAATCTCAGCACTCAGAAGGCTGAGGCAGGAGGACTGTTGCAAGTTCGAGGCCAGCCTGGGCTACAAAGTGAGCTCAAGGCCAGCCTGAACTGCACAGAGAGACCCTGTCTCAAAGGAACAAAAAAAAAAAAAAAAAAAAGGAGCAATGTATTAACTATTGTTACTCTATTATTTTGTTATGAAAATTTGTTTTATTTTTCCCATAAAATAAAAAAAATTAAATGGAAACAAAATTGAAACCGTTAACAGTATGTTAACTCTGGAAAAGGGTGAATTTCTCAATTTTATATCTTTGCACACCTTAATTTTTTTAACCATACATATATTATCATTCACTAACAAGTTGAATTAAAAAGAAAAAGAAAAACACATAAGTGGGAGAGAACAATCTCCCTCCTGCTTAAAAATATTCAAGATTGAGGGCTGGGGATACAGCTCAGTGGCACAAGTCCCTGCCTGGCAAGTGCAAGGTCTTGAGTTTGATTTCTTGTATCCCTTGCAAAAAAAAAAAAAAAGAAAGAAAAAGAAACAAAGCCAGGTGTGGTGGTGCACGCCTGTAATCCCAGCACTTGGGAGGCTGAGGCAGGAGGATCGCTGGGAGTTCAAGGCCAGCCTGGACTACAAAGTGAGCTCAAGGCCAACCTGAACTACATAGTGAGATCCCGTCTCAAAAGACCCTTCCCCCCTCCAAAAAAAAGTACAAGATTATGGATTTCGGCTTGGTGTGATATTTCAGGGAAGTTTTGTAAAGATCTTTCTGCTGTTTCTATTTTAAAGCACTTTAACAGGAATTATAAGTAAAAGGGTATGCGAGAGAATGAGAATGAGATCAATTTCCACTTCGTTCCACCAGTGTCCCTGGTCACTGTTGCATTTAGCCATGAGAGACCTACGTTCTAAATTCCACAGTACTTACTATTGTACTTATGGTGACATTCATTTTACGTTACACTGATAAAAGGATATGCTATCTCCACAGCTAGGTAATACATAAGCTAGAGATAGGAAAGGGCTTATCTTTATCTCTTTCAAAATGTCTCTCAGTGTAGATTAAATGAAGCAACCACTTGAGTAAATAAATTGTAAGTGTCCTGGATTATTTTACTTTACTTCCTGTTTATCCAAAAGGTAAATATTATTTGCTTCAAAAAATAATATAGGAAAGTTGAGAATATTTTCTTACCTATCTACTTTCACTTCAGACATGTCTTTCCTAAATGTTTGAAATATTTTTGGAAAACCTGTGAAATGAAACATTTAAAACTTTAGCCACTCCCTCGAAATCAGTGATTCTTCAGAGGGTAATTTCGTCCCCCAAGGAACACGAGGCTATGTCTGGAGACAATTTTGATCGCGTGTGTGTGTGTGTGTGTGTGTGTGTGTGTGTGTGTGTGTTTTACAAGCATAATCAGGGGCAGAGACCAGGGATCCCTCTGAACAACCTCTAATGCACCGGACGGGACACCCTCACCCCCATCAAAGAACAATCAGGGTCAAAATATCAACTTTGGCAGTTTGAGAAACGGACTCTAAATCACAGCTGTGATTCTCTTGTACGAGGAAGTGAGTGGAGTGGTTCCCCTACGGGAAATTAAACACACAAAAGAAAGCTGGGGTTCTTCTGAGGGGCTGTCTCAGGCTCTGCTCCTGCCGGTGTAAGCGGAGCACCGCAAACAGCTCCGCCCGTTTCCCTTTGACAAAGTGATTCTTCTAGACCGTAAAGGATGAAACACACCCAGAGGTCAGAGACAGACGACTGCGTGTGTGCGCGTGTGTGCGCGTGCATGGAGTGGTGTGCGTGCGTGTGCACCCCCGGCGTGCAGTGGGGTGCGTGCGCGCGCAGCCCGGGCCGGCGCGCCGGCGTACTTTGCTGCGAGGAGACGCGGGACGGCGAGGTCTCGGACGGCGGGGTCTCGGACAGCGACGCGCTCCACGTGGGGCTCGAGGGCTCGGAGTGCGTCGGGCTCAGGCTGGGGCTGACCACGCTGATCAGGCGGGGCCGGGGCTCCAGCCGCACCGATTCGTCCCACTCTTCCTCCAGCTCGTCCTCCTCCTTGTCGCCAAGGTTGAAGACGGTCCAGAGGTCGTCCTCGCGGAACGTCACGGCGGCCGCCTCCTCCTCCTCCACCTCTGCCCCCTCCTCCACCTTCGCCCCCTCCACTTTCTCCTCTTCCATCTCCTCCTCCTCCAGCTCCTCGTCCTCCAGCTCCTCGTCCTCCAGCTCCTCCTCTTCCAGCTCGTCGTCCTCCAGCTCCTCCTCCATCCCCTCCTCCTCCTCCGGCTCGCGGAGGCTGCGCTGGCGGGGGCGCCTCTCGGCCATGCCTGGCTGTGCCCGCGCGGTCGCGGTCGCGGTCGCTGTGGCCGCCGAGGCCGGTCGGTCCCTGGGCGCACGCGCTGCTAGGCGTCCGTTTCCCTGGGCAACGCCTGCCCCACCCCCTCCGAGCCGCCCAGATTTAAAGCGGCAGGCCGCCTTTAGCCCCCGGCTGTCGGTGTTCGAAGACGGCTGGATGGGCCACCCGCAAGCTCTTTTCCGTCTCTGCTCTGGAGGGATGGGGGTGTCATCTAGACCCTTCGCGGCCTGGGGCGAGCGAGCAGCTTACTTGCATTTTTTTTCAAAGTGAGGCGAAGGAAGTGGCTTGCAGTATTGTGCAGTACACCCATAATGCCGCTTGCTCTTCGGAGCGGTGTGGGATTTAGGGAGACAGATGCCTGTTGGAACTTGCAGTAGAATTCTGTTTACAAAAAGAGGTGCCAGCCCTGGGCCATAGTTTGTCCATTTGATTTTTAAAACTATTGCCTTCGGTATTATCTTGATTAATGAAAAATTTGGCATCCCTGTCCCTTTTATTTTGGAGCAGGGAAAATTTGTGAGTCCTGCTTATTGCTTGTTCCCTCCATCTATCCATCTATCCATCTATCCATCCATCCATCCATCCATACATACATACATCCTGTAGGTGGAAAAGGCCACGTAGGCGCCCACCGAGTTTTCTTTTTGGTTCACTCTACTTACATTTTTGCAAAGTGTTTTATACGCACGAAAAAAGTATACACGCGATTGACTAACCCTTGTGTCAGATCACTGAGCGCGGGCCTAGAAATCCCTTTGTATAATTTCAGCTAAATTACGTAACCTCTTTCAGCCTCAGTATTTCTGGGTATAAACTGGGGCAAGGATACCCCGAAGGTGTTTGTGGGTATCAAGTCATGTGGAGGGGCTGCTTCTGACTGTCGTGTGTTTCATCCAAAGGCTAAGGGCCACAGGTGTGGTGGAGTACACAGAGGTGGCATCTCAGAAGGGGGATGCTACAGCCTGTCGGAGCATTTGGGCTTGCTCACATGGTTTAGGTAGATCTAAGCAAGTGGGCCTTTGTCCGATATCAGGGCCAGGTCGTGATGGGGTGACTTACAGTGGCACAGTGACCTTACTTTTATTTGTGTTTAGATACAGCTATGAAGTGGCTTTGTTTTGTTTCCTTTTATCATGATGTCAGAGTAATCTTGTCTGAGGTTGGTATTCTTTGAGGAGATTTCTATCCAACAGGAGAACCAAGTGGTCTGGCTGTGAGCATGAGACCATCCTGTAATTATGTGGAGGTCTGGCTGTAACAGGTTGGTTCCAGGTGTCAGGGGATTCCAGCCAGAGCCTTCCAGTCCAGGGGTCTTAATTATAACAGGGCTCTCAAGGGGGCAGAAGTGAGAAGTTTGGTGCCTAGGTCCAGTGGGCAGTGTTTTATGACTGTGCAATTGATGATGGAGTCATTGATCACTTTGTGATCCAGGCCTCTGTTGTGAGCTGAGCCGTGGCATGGACAGGGCTGCTATGGAGCTGCCCTCACTGACTAGCAGGAGCTGTGAACATCTGGCAGGACTCCAGCAAGCTCTCTGGCCCTAGGCAGAACCTGGGAGCTTAGAGGCACAAAATTGCCCCTGAACTCCAGGGGATCAGAGAGAATATTTTTGTTTTTGTTTTATTTTGTTTTGTTTTTGAACTACACTATGTAGTTCAGGCTGGCCTTGAACTCATAATGTAACCCAGGCTGGCCTCAAACTCACAGTGATCCTTCTGCCTCAGCCTCCCGAGTGTTGGGATTACAGGCATGTGCCACCACACTCAGCAAGAGAGAATATTCTTGAAAGAAGAGGCCTTGCAAGCTACTGCAGAGATTGGCACAGGCTAGTGGAACAGTTGGGACATTTGAGTTGGTTTGGAAAGAGATGTAAACTGTGAGTGGCTAGAGAGAAAGTGAATGGCATTACAGCAGGAAAAGAGGGCCGGCACAGGTGCTGGGTGCCGAGAAGTGGAGGTACAAAGAAGATAGCAGGCGGCCCAGCCCAGGACTGACTCTGAATGGCCAAAACCAGGAGAGTGACGCCCCCTCGTGGGGGAAATAAGACACTGTTCTTTTTGGAGTAAGTGGATCCCTGGGAAGGAGAGTACCTAAGAGTTTAAAAGAGCGGAATAGCTCTAAGCAAGGAGCACTTTAAGAATGTAACTCACCAGGCCATTGAGACAACCAATAGCAGTCACAGGAAGGAGGACCGTCGGAGGCAGGCACTTCCGGGAAGTGCAGGCACTATACCCCTTGCGCTCTCCCGGATCCTGGCTTATCCCCTTGGTCTGACTTCCAGCCTGCTCTCTGAGAACACTGGAAACAGAAACATACCTGCTTTATCCTAACAAATCCCTTCCCCTTTGTGGAAGGAGCCAATTCAATGTCATGACCCCTAAGATCACTTCCAGAATCAAATGCTATGACTGGGGGCTGAGGCTGTGGCTTATGGCAGAGTGTAAGTTTAGTATTCATCACGTCCTAGGTTTAATCCCCAGCACCTCTCCCCCATTCTGTTACTGCTCAGAAAAAGACTGGGCTTTTTCTTTTCTTTGGGGGGAGAGAAGGAGGAGGGGGAGGGAGAATGGAAGAGTGTGCATTTTTGTACAGTTCAAACTTCTTATTTGCACACAGCGTATTATAAAAGCTCCCTAGGACCTTCGTGAAGAAAGCAGTGTTTCTTCTCAAGGCTTGTGTTAAGCGCTGCTCTGCTTCACAGTGAAAGAACTTTAGCCTGATGGTGGCTAATTCAGAATCTGTCCGACTGCACTTAGCTATGAGGAGCAGCTTTCTAAATGGCGTGTCCTCCCCTCCCTACAAGCGTCTTTCAGAAGGTGATTCTGAGAGCCCATTTATGCCTCTTCATTAGTAGTGTCACTCACTTTCTCCTTGCCCTTAATATTTTATGTGAGCATGCCTTGGGGAGGATTGATAAGGGCAAAGGGCAGTGCACTAAACAGCCAGTCCGCTCTCACTTCTGAGTCCTCAGTCTTCCTGCTCTGTGGTCCCTGACTTCATATCCTCTCACTGTTTTGCTTTTGTTTTTTCATTTTGTTTTGTTTTGTTTTGTTTTCTTTCTAAGGAAAGCCCAGCCTCATTATCCTTCTGGGCATATCCTTTTACATCTGCAAGCCTAGCTCTGTTTGTTGTTTCTGGACTGTACCTATGGTTGCCGTGAAAGAGTCCTCTATCCCTTCTCCCTTCCCGCTACTGCCTCCTCCAGGATTTTGCATCATTCATTGATTCAATATACTGAGCAATTTGTCCATTTAAAAGAATAATTATTGAAGGCTGGCAGTGTAGCTCACCGGTAGAGCACTTGTCCAGCAATCAAGAGGCCCCAGGTTCAATCCCCACTACTGGGGAAAACAATCGAGAGAGAACTGTACAGCAGACATTGTTCTCAGCTCTAGGGAGCCAGCAGTGAACAAGGACTCTGCTCTCACTGTGGTGCTTTCCTTGGGAAAGGGCCACATGAAAAATAATTACTGTACAAGAAGTTCCTAAGTACCATGGAGAAAAATAGAGTGTGTGGGGTCAGGGATGCAGAGTTATGGGCAGGAATATTGCTTTTCATAGGTCATGAAGGAATTCCCTAGTAGGCTAGTATGTGAGCAAAGTCCTCAAGGAGACAAGGGAGCTGGCCGAGCATCTTTGAAGGAAGAGGAGCCAGAGCTGGGCTGGAGGAAGGGATGATCCGTTGAGTAGGGCTCTGGCTTCTCTTCTGGAATTACTGACAAAGCTGTGGTTTATGTTTTAAGCTAAACTCTGCTATCTCAAATAGACTGGTCATTCAACTAGATTCAGATTTGGGGGAGCAAAGGCTTAATTAGTGGGGAGACCTGATAGAAGGCTCTTGTACCATGGAGCAACTCTGTTTAAAGTGCAGGCACAAGGGAAAAAAGAAAAAAATACTGTTGGGAATATAGAGACAAAAAAGTAAGACTCCATTCCCTAGGGAGCAGAGTGGAAGAGGAGATATGACAAATAACTGTACCCCAAGATGCCTTGGAGGTTGATGTAATTTTTCTCATGGGGGAGAAAGGAGAGAAGAATCAGAAGACATCCAGGGAGCAGTTAGTCTTTACTTGGTAGGATTATTTCTAGCACAAAGCCAGGCCATTATAAAGGTAGCATGAGATGTGATAGAAATATATGGTGAGTGTTTAAAATAATTTATTATAGTAAAAGATACATTGTCACTAATCTCCCTCAAGATACTCCCCCCCTTGGGCAACCTACTTAGGATGCCTTCTGTCTCTCTCAGATAGAAGCTTTCTTTCCCCAGTAAATATATTCTGCTCCTAACCTCCATTGTTCCTATAATTTATTCTTTGATTTTAGAAAATACAAATTCATGTTGGACTCTAACAGATTGGGAGTTTCTTTCCCCTATAACATTTGGAGGTCTTCTACTGAGATAAGTGGCCAGAGGTAAGAGTTTGTTTTTGTTTCATAGATTCTGGGTCATGACTCATTTAGGTAACCAAAAGTTTTTATGCTTCACAATTTGGTATCTTTGCCCATTGCTTATAATTGTTTATGCTTTCTATCTTATATAAGTTTGTTAAAATGATGATAAATTTAAGTTAAAAACATGGAAAGGTTATAAGGTTCTTTTGCTTCTTTAATGGGACCGTCTTAATTCCTGTTTTGTGTATGTTGCATTTGAATTAGTTGTTGATTTTACTGGTGTTCCTCTCTTGATTTTAGACAAAACAGCACTAGTAAGAGTAATATTAGAGTGCCCCTAGTGGACTTTAATATAAAATTCTGTAAAATGAGTCTTTTTATGAAATCTAGTTCATACCTAGAAAAATGCATGCCTATTAAACAACAGACTCCTTCCAGCAATTAAAAGATACTAGGTTGGTGGCCATTCTTAAGACTTGGAGAATAGTTTTTACTGAGACAGACTGGCCTGATCCTCATCTATATTCTTGAGGAAATGTTGAACCTGTCCTGCCTCAGTTTCCTTTCTGGTCTGATCTTCCACTGGTGAGGAGACAATCTTAGCTCTTCAGATTCCCCATTCTTGCATTTCTAGGCTGAGAGTGACAACTCATAGGCAACTTGTCTCTTAAAAAAAAACAAGGAGAGGTGCCCAGGGAGGCAGGCAGGCCGCAGGCACCTGCTCTGGGAGGCTGCGCAGCTGGGGAGCGCTGGCCCTTCGGGGCCCGGCATACCCAGCCGAGCAGGGGCCTGGGAAGGCAGGTGGGCTGCAGGCACCCACTCCTGGAGGCCATGCGGCTGGGAAGCACCGGCCCTTCGGGGCCTGGCACACCCAGCCGTGCAGGCACTCAGAAAGGCAGGCAGCAGGTGCCCAGGAAGCAGTGTGGAGACATGCGCTGGCCCTTGGGCTGGCCACCGCCACACAGTCAAGAAACGCCATGCCACAGAGAAGCACCGATGCAACAGGCCCGCCCGGAGACGTGCATGAACCATCCCGGCATGGAGAAACCTCTGGGAAAACATGCCACACTGTGGATTGCTCTTGGCCCTGCCCTTGAGAGCCAGAAAGGTCTGGAGTCAGTGGAGGAGCAGCTGATGAACAAGGACTCGGTGAACATGAGAGTACCGACGCCCGACGACTCAGAGGTCAAGCTGACTGGGGAGGCGGGAGCCATTCAGGAGCTGGAAACCAGGAGGACCTTGTGCAATACCTGGGGAGACTCCCTGGAGGCCATTCTTCCCCTAACTGTACAGGCTGTGGTGGAGGAGCGAGTGGAGCTCCAGAGAGGTCTGCACTGAGACTTCATGGATTGCATGGGTGCCCTATGTTCAGATTTTGAAGAACTGCCTTCATGGAGAAGTACGTGTCTAGGTTACCTGCCCGGGACACTTTGTGCCTGCTGGTGCTGAGACTGACCAGTGGGCCGAGGACTTCATCCACATGTTCCTGCTGCCTGTGTTGATGGTTGGGGAGAGGACACTAAGTGGTTGCAGGATCCTAAGGTGCTGAGAGGCTGGAGAGAACACCCCTCTGCTTTCTTAGACAAGAGGCATTGATAAAGCATACTTCCCTGAATCCCAGGTCAGTAGAGGACAAACTATTCTTACAGATAAGTTATTACTCAGTCAGCCCCAAATAGCAGAAAAAAGCTAGAAAAAATGGCTTTTGCCCCAGATAGCTCACTTGAGATGTTAGTAAGAATTGCCTCCTCAGTATTTTATAGCTGTGAGGAGGAGGAAGCCAAGGAGAGAAAACAGAGACCGAGAAAAAACAGCTGCCTTTGTTGCAGCACTAAGAGAAACAGACCCTAAGTCTGATTCTCAGGGCCCCAAGAAGAACTCGTCGACTACATTGATCAGCCACTGCTGTCAAAAGCCAGGCCACCTCAAGAGGGACTGCCCTAAGAAGCCCCCTGGGCCATGCCCTGACTGTAAAGGTTACCCCTAGAGGTCAGACTGCCCTCTGAAGTGAAGGCCCCAGAGCTCAGACCCCTCCTACCAGCTGGTCCAGCAGGAATGAAGGGGCCCAGGGCTTACTCTGCCTTCTCCCTCTGGCCAGACCGTTATCTTCAAAGAGGAGCCCTGCGTAATCATGACTATAGAGGAAAAAGTAAACAGCTTATTTCTGACACTGGTGCTAGTCTCTCGGTCCTTCTTTTCAATCCTGGCCTTCCTTCCAGCCATCACACCTCAGTGAAAGGAGTTACTGATGAGGAGGTAATCCACTATTTTTCACAACCCTTAGGCTGTCACTACTTGATAGATTTTTCTTGCATATCTTTGTTTGCCTGAGAAACCACTCATAGGATGAAAAACACAGAGGAAATGGACAGATTTATAGATACATACCAATTACCAAAGCTAAATGAAGAAGATATAAAAACCCTGAATAACTCAATATCAGCAAGTGAAGTTGAAAATGTAATAAAAAAACTTGCCAGTGAAGAAAAGCCCAGGTCCTGATGATTCATAGCTGAATTCTACAAGAAATTTAGTGAAGACTTAATTCTTCTCAAGACCAATTCTTCTCAAGACCAATTTGAAGACCAATTCTTCTCAAACTCTTTAATGAAATTGAAAGGGAAGGAATTCTCCCTAGCTCATTCCTGCAGGCAAGTATTATCCTGATCCCAAAACCAGAGAAAGACCCAACAAAAAAGATAATTACAGGCCAATCTCCCTAATGAGTATAGGTGCAAAAATTCTCAATAAAATACTAGTAAACAGAGTACAAGCAACCATCAAGAAGATTACACACCACGACCAAGTGGGATTCATCCCAGGATGCACGTATGGTTCAATATACACAAATCATTTAAGGTAATACACCGTATCAGTAGAGCCAAAGACAAAAATCACATGATCATCTCAACTGATGTAGAAAAAGCTTTCAATAAAGTTCAGCACTCATTCATGATGACAACCCTACACAAAATAGTAATAGATGGTCTTTACCTCAATCTGATAAAAGCTATCTATGACAAACCAATGGCTAAAATAATATTAAATGGTCAAAAATTGAAAGCTTTCACTTTAAAATCAGGAACAAGACAAGGATGTCCACTGTCACCTCTCCTATTCAATATAGTTCTGGAAATATTAGCCAGAGCAATTAGACAAGAAAGAGAAATAACAGAAATAGGGATAGTAAAGGAAGAAGTGAAATTATTATTCACAGATGACATGATACTCTATAAGAAGGCCCCAAAAATTCCACCAAAAGGCTTGTAGATGTAATAACCAAATTCAGTAGTGTAGCTGGATACAAAGTCATCACTCAAAAACCAGTAGCATTCCTGTACACAAACAACACACAGACTGAGAGAGAAATTAGGGAAACCACACCTTTCATAATAGCATCTAAAAAAATGAAATACTTAGGAATCAATCTAACAAAAGAAGTAAAAGATCTATACAGTGAAAATTATAGTACTCTGAAAAGAAGAGATCAAAGAGGATATGAGAAAATGCAAAGATAGTCTATGCTCATGGATAGGAAGAACCAACATTGTGAAAATGGCCATACTCCCAAAATTGTTTTACAGATTCAATGCAATCCCAATTAAAATACCATTATATACTAGTATAATGCCAGTATACCAGTAAAATTATTATATACCAGTAAAATACCAGTAAAATTATTATATACCAGTAAAATACCAGTATACCAGTATACTTCATGGATCTAGAGAAAACATAAAATTCATCTGGAACCAGAAGAGGCCTAGAATAACAAAAGCAATCTTGGGAAACAATACACACTTCTCACATGAAGAAATATTAATGGTGAATAAATATATGAAAAAGTGTTCAACATAATTAGTCATTGGAGAAATGCAAGTTAAAACAACACCAACATTCCATCTCACCCCGGAAAAAATGGCTATCATCAAGAAATCAATCAATGACAAATGCTGGAGAGGCTGTGAAGAAAAAGGAACCCTTCTCCAGGAAGCATCACAATCCCTGACTTGAAATTATACTACAAAGCTACTGCAATAAAATCAGCATGGTACTGGCAAAAAAACAGACCTGGAGATCATTGGAACAGATTAGAAGACGCAGACACAACTACAAACACACTCAGCCACCTTATCTTTGACAAAGGGGCCAAACAAACTCACTGCAAAAAACATAGCCTCTTTATTAAATGGTGCTGGAAAAACTGGTGTTCCACATGCCAAAGACTAAAACTAAGCAGAAGTCTATCACCATGCACTAAACTAAAGTCAGAATGGATCAAAGATCTAAATATTGAAACAAACATTAAATCTACTGGACGAGAAAGTAGGTAAAAATCTTGAAGACATAGGAGTAGGCAGAGAGTTCATGAACAGAAACAAAACTGCATGGGAAATTCTTCAAAGAATCAACAACTGGGATCTCATCTTATTGAAAAGTTTCTGCACATCAAAAGAAATCCCTAATGGGGTAAAAAGAAAAACATGAATTGGGAAAAAATTTTAACCAACTGCCCCTCAGACAAAGGACATTTATGTAGAACATATAAAGAATTAAAAAAAAATCAGTCCCCCAAAATTCAAAGACCCAACCCAAAAATGGGCATCTGAGATGAATACACACTTCTCACATGAAGAAATATGAATGGCAAATAAAACATGAAAAAATGTTCAACATCATTAGTCATTCGAGAAATGCAAATTAAAACAACACTGAGATTCCATCTCAACCCAGAAAGAATGGCTATCATCAAGAAATCAACCAATAACAAATGCCGGAGAGGCTGTGGGGAGAAGGGAACCTTACTTCACTGCTGGTGGGAGTGTAGATTGGTGAAACCACTGTGGAAATCAGTTTGGAGATTCCTCACAAAACTAGGATTGGAAGTCCCACTAAACTCAGTTATTCCCCTTCTGGGTATTTTCCCAGAAGAACTGAAAACATCATACCACAGTGATATATGTACACCCATGTTTATAGCAGTGCAATTTGTCGTAGCTAAATCTTGGAAACAACGCAAATGCCCATCAACTGAGGAACGGATAAAAAAAGATGTGGTAGTTTTATACAACGGAGTATTACTCAGCTATACAAAAAGATAAACTCAAGGCTTTTATAGGTAAATGTATGCAACTAGAGACCATACTCATAAGTGAAATAAATCAGACTCACATGTGTAAACATCATATTGCCTCCATAGTGTAAGAACCTGAAAGAGTAAATAAAATCTGAAGGGTACAATAGATATTGTGAAAGAGAAAGAAACTGCTTAAAAGGAAAGAACAACCGGGAAGAGGGAAAAAAAAGAAAGAAGGGACAATATATATATATATATATACACAGACAATAGTTAAGATAATTGTACTACTAATTTCTCTTGGTTTATTGAAAGGAACAGTTAATGTGTAGTTGTTTGATCACTCTTACATGCCTATTTCTTGTTATCTGAGTACCACTTTGAAGATAACAATATGTAATATAACAATCATTGTTAATTTCTTATCACCTTGTTTTGAAATTCTGTAACATTTTTATTGTTTTTATGGTTTTTTTGTTTATGTCTTTGTTTTTGTTCTTTTCTCTTTAAATTCAAAAAAATACATATACAAAGACAGGTGGGATAAGTGTATTGCTGAATCTATTGATTTATTGAAAGGAACAGCATTAACTAATGCTTAATTTTTTTTTTCTTGATCAATTTTGCGTGCTTCTATCTGGTAATCAGAACAACTAATTTGAAGACAACAATATGCAGTATAACAACCATTGTTGAATTCCTACCATCTTGTTTAATGAAGCTCTGTATTGTTTCTAATTTCTTAATTACTTGTTATTGTCTTTAATTGTTTGATCAATCTTGCATTCTTACATCTGGTAATCTGAGCAACTTTGTTGAAGATAACCCTGTGTAATATAACAACCATTGTTAATTCCTATCATCCTGTTTTGAATTCCTGTATCTTTTTTTATTGTGTTTGTGTTGTTTTGTTTTTGTCTTCATTGTTGTTATTTTGTTATTTTTTTTTTCTCTTTAAAATAAGAAAAAGCTATAACAGGGGTGACTTTCTCTTCATTCATTTTGTTTGTTTGTTTGTTTTTGGGTTTTCTCCGGTACCGGGAACCGAACTCAAGACCTTGCGCTTGCCAGGCAGGCGCTTTTGCCGCTGAGCTAAATCCCCAGCCCTCTTCATTCATTTTAATTATGCCTAACAACCCAGCTCCCATCTTGGAGAGAGATATTTCATCCTGTCTAAATACTGTCATATATATATGTCATCTATTTATCTATCTATCTATTTCCAGGTTGCCAGCTATTCAAAATGATGCTGAGGCTGGTTTTACAGATACGATATAGTACATATTATTGTCTACATACAATAACGTGAGAGTTATCCTCTTTATGGGAAGCTATTACTGGTTCTTCCTGGTGGAAACCTTTGTTGATTGTGTTCATAATTATGCTGTTTATTTATTATTTGGCCTATGCATACTTAATTGTTTCTTTGCCTTTGTCTCCTCCTGACTTAAAGCTATATGCCTACCCAGGATGAAAATGCCTGGTGTCTATCAAGGGCCTTTAGATAGACTATCTGAAGGGTATCTCTTGACTGTCAATCATAATTATGATGCCTTTCAGCCTGAAGAAGCCAGACTGGTCATTGTCCATTGCTCCCTCATGGCAGTTCAGGGTACTTCTTTTTTGTTGTTGTTTTTTTTTTGTTTTTTTTGTTTTTTTGTTTTTGTCTTTTTTTTCCGGTACCAGGAATTGAACTCACGACCTTGCGCTTGCCAGGCAGGTGCTTTTGCCGCTGAGCTAAATCCCCAGCCCCTCAGGGTACTTCTTCAGAGGGGGAATATTATAGACAGCTAAATTAGGTAAAAATATCATAGGCAGATGATACTGTAATATTTTTATAAGCCTCCAGTTCAGTTGGATGGCATTTGGCAGCTGTATTTTTTTTTTTTATCACACCTTATAAAGACGCTCATGAAAGAGGACTTCCAGAACTGCTTCAGAAAGCAGCAAGAACAGTGGATAAGTGTGCTTAAAGCAAGGGGGAGTATCTTTTTTTAAAGAGCAGAATATACTTATTGGGGAAATAATTAATTATTTCCAAAAGAGCCAGTGCAGAAGATGGGATACATTGCAACTCTGTGGGAGGCACCTCTGTTGAGAGCCAGACCTCAAGACATAGATGAACAAATGCACCCACATACTTACCCTAGGAGTAAACAGCAGGGACTGATTTTCTAAATAGGGATCCATCACCTTGGGGAACCCAGGAAGAGCCACTGACCCACCCGCTCCAGGAAAAGTCCCTGTTCTCTTTCCTGCCTGCTTGGTACATGACTCACTCCCCCGTTTGATCCCCATTTAATCAATATTACCTGAGCAACTATGCTCATAATCTTACTGGTCAGCCAGTTTTGTCCCACCTCGTGCCCACCTTGTGATTTTGCATTTTCTCCCCACCTTGGACTCATCTCACCTTGTGGTTTTGCTCTATAAAAATCCCTTAAATTTTTTGCCCTTGGTAACCCACTTAGGACACTTTCCATCTCTCTCAGACAGATAATAAATTATTTCCCCAATAAGTGTATTCTTCTCTTAAAAAAAAGATACTCCCCCTTGCTTTAAGCACACTTACCCACTGTTCTTGCTGCTTTCTGAAGCAGTTCTGGAAGTCCTCTTTCCTGAGTGTCTTTGTAAGGTGTGATCAAAAGAATACAGTGAATGCTGCTGCCAAATGCCGTCCAACTGAATTGGAGGCTTATAAAAATATTACAATGCGTCCTCATCCACTTTATGCACTAGGTCTGACGCCATGCAACTTCTGGTTCTTCCTCAAAAATAAAAAATGAGCATGACAGGTAAACATTTTGAGTTGTTTGAGGACATCAAGGCAGCCACTACAGCACATCTGAAGACACTCATGAAAGAGCACTTCCAGACCTGCTTCAGAAAGCTGCAAGAATAGTGGGACAAGTGTGTTTAAAGCAAGGGTATATATTTTGAGGGTGATTAATGGTAATGTGTCTTTTCCTGTAAGATTTTATATATATATAATATATATATACATATTTATATATATTTAATTTAAACATTCACATATTGTTTGATCAGATCATATATGTACACATTACCAAAAATTTGGAGATGTAGAAAATTTTTAAAAATGGGGAAATCCCTATTAATGATATACTGTCCCAAAGCCAACACTATTAGATTTTAAGATATTTTCCTTTAGCCATTTTTTCCTATACATTTATATGTAATTTGTATCTTGGTTTTTTTCCTTAACATGACATAAACATGCTCCAGTACTTTATCAACTTTTATGTCATATTAAGTAAAGGTACCATGGCTTATTTAGTTATTTTTGCATTCAGCTGGAGAATTATTCTGTAAATATTTGATTTGATGCGTTCAACTCTGGGGCTACAGCATGGAATAAGACTGACAAGGCCCCTTCCTTCATGGAACGTACACAGTATTCTGGGAGGAGTTAGGGAAGAAAATAACAATTGGTTCTAACCATCAGATGTAAATATGTGTTGTGTTTGTCCTTAATGTTTTAGGCGTGGTCATTTGCTGAGAGGAATAACAGGAAGCCAGTGCACTAAGCTGTAGGTCTCCTGCACTGGCTCCTTCTCAGCACGTTGCATGGCTGCTCTGTCCTCTTTCAGACCCCACCTCAGACATCACCTCCTCAGGGTAAACCACCCCCAGGCTTCCATCACATCACCGTCCTGTCCTCCTTCAGAAGCCCCAGAAGCAACCAGCACTGTTGACAGGACATGATGATCTTTGCCTCCCAAAACTCATTTCAGACGTCTGACCATGAGAAGAAAGAAAAGAACTGTCAGAAGAGCAGGAGCAGATTGAGCACAACTTGATGCACTGTATCAGTCAGCTTTGGCTGCTATAATAAAATATTGCCAGCATTTTCAATGTCAGGTGAGTGCCACTCTTATTAGATGAAGGCGCCATCCTTGTTTTATTTCACCATAATTGCTTCCTAAGAAGTAGTACAGCCATACTGAGGGTTAGCAGTTTTGGAGGGGGGCAGCAATCATTAAGTCAATTAAAGTCACTTTGAGAAAAGCAAAGAAGCTAGGGTTTCACCTGAGCCAGGGCCTTGGGTGGTGGTGACGGAGCCTGAGAAGAGAACTACTGGATCTTGGTGTTGTGAGAGCAGCTGCAACGACAATGCAGAAGTCTGCTCACCCTGAGTGTTGTGTTGCTTTGGGTCCTCCAGGAAATAGATGTCCAGGTGGGACACTGTCTGCGAGGAGAAAGTCGGGGGAGGAGCCAGAAGATTCCGCGAGGGTTTCTGATGGCAGTGCAGTTTTGAGCCCTGTGGAGCAGACAAGGGAGGAAGGCATGGTGGAGGAGTGTTAGCCAGCAGTGCACGCCTCTGCTGAAGTGTGGCAGTGCTTGACGAGGCCCTGAGCCAGTCTCTTGCCAGAGGGGTTCATGTTCTGCAGGAGAGACCTGTCCTGTCTCTACTCTGGGCAGCCATGGCCGGGAGCTGCTGCAGGACGCGTGGCCTTGTGGGAACGTGGTGAGGGAGCCAGCCCTGCGACTGGAGCTGCCAGTCCACTAAGCGCCATTGCAGGCGACTGCAGCTAGTATTTCCATGGGCGCCCAGGTCTGCCCTCCCCCAGACAGAGTCTCTGACTCCCGTCCTGGGCCCAGGACACTGTCCTCCTGGTCTTCCCAGAGCACTTTTTGTCGCCCCATCAGAACACAGAGCAGGTAGTGGTATTGAGGAAGTGTAGTTTGAGGAGCAAGACTACTGAGCTCAAATCCTGGTTTAAGTATAGAGTAACTAGCTGTGTGACCTAGCTAAACTTCCCAACCTCTCTGTGCCTCAGTCTCCACTTCTGTAGAATGGGAAAATTATTTAGTTTTCCATGAAATAGCTACTAATGTTGTTTGTAACTGTTTTATGGGTTGGTTATGAGGATTTAATGTAACAAATTAGAACTGCTGCTGGTACTAGTGAACACTGCATTATCAATTTACAGTTTTGACTGTCCTCTGATTAGTTAGCTTCCACCAAAAGTTTGTGGATCATCCATGTAGGTGCCTCTTTCAAAACTTGCCATCAATAACGAAAATAAGTAATGGGGTCAAGAAATGAGATTGAATAGCTATGGGTATGAAATGCACGCATGTATTTACAGCTAAGGAGGGAGTGGCAGTTCGATGGTAAGATCCAAATGGCACTCTCCACCACCTGTCAGCTTGCCTCTGTCCCAGAAGCTTTTAGCAGATGAGCAAGTTGATAAATGACAACTGGCAACTGAATATTCTATGTGGGGGAGTTTGAAGAGTACAGCATCTAAATTCCAGCGCTCGGGAGGCTGAGACAGTAGGATTTCTATGAGTTCAAGGCCAGCCTGGGCTACATGGTGAGACTCTATCTCAGACAAAAAAACAAACAAAAAAACAAACTATAGGATCCATGAGTTGGGCAATAGGGACAGATTTTCTTTTTACTCTATTTTCTGGAGTAGAATTTTTATTTTCATCCTTTGACTTCATTTTTACTTTCTGGTCTAAGTGCTATGAGTGCTTCACGGCCACCACTGGGCACCCCTCACCGCTGTTCGTGCCGTTGCCACTCTTAGCCTCCTCTGTGCCCGTTGCACCTGCCTCAGCTGACAGGTCAGGCCTGCTCAGTGTAAACCACCTCACCGTCCCAGAACCAACGTCCCCTCCCTCCCTGGGGAGGGCACTGGAGGAAGGCGGCTTTTCCTTTTAAGCACTCAACACTCAAAGGGGCTGAAGAAGCGGCGCTCCTGCCTTTCTGATCAGGCGGTAGAGCTTCTCAGGGAGACCTCCTAGGACTCCTCGGGTGTCCTGCACACGCCCCCAGAGCCCCTCCTCTCCCTGCCCAGTGTTCATTAGCAGTGGAACTTTGCTGCTTCTCAGTCAAAAGGTGGAGTGCACTTCTGCAGCCCTTGCAGCTGGGTGTGTTGAGTGATTTGCTTTGGCCGAAGGGGCATTAGCAACTGTGAAAGTGGAAGCTGGAAAGCACCTGTGCGTTGGGACTTGCCTGCTTTTGCTGCTCGGCGCCCTAATAACACCATGCAGTAGGGCCCAGGCTGGTCCCTGGTGGATGAGAGACCCCGTGGAGTGGGGGTGGGTTGGTGCAGCTCAGAGCCCTTAGATCCGCTTCCCCCAGCCCTGCCACCAGCGGAGCACAGGGACGGGCCAGCTGCACAGCCTCACTGCAGAAATGCAAATCAAATGGTGTCTTATTCGGATTTAAGAATCACATTTGGGGGAAGTTAATTATGTGGCAATAGGCCTCAGGTCTGTGTCTGATAGCTCCAGTATTCAGAGTCCTCGAGGTTTGTTTGTGTTTTCTGTTTTCCTGCTCGTTTTCTGCCTTCTAAAATACCTAGTTATTTATTATTACTGTATGTGCCAGATGTAATTTTTAAAAATGGCAGAAAGCATTTGAGGCTGCAGCTTATAACATCTTTCTCCGGAGAGGACTTCTGCGTGCTTTTAGGAAGGCACATAGGGGTGCTTGTAACCCATTCTGACCACCTTAGTTCCACCTCAGACGTTGCCAGGATCCAAAGCTAGACTGTAGCCTCCGGGGTTAATCTATTTCCACTTAATCCTCACGCTTAAAAGGCAACCTTTCAGGGTCCCAGTCTCAAGTGGGAGAGGAGTCACCACCGTCTGCTCTTCCTTGGCTTTCACTATTACTTTTCTCTTCTCTTAGTCCAGTCAAGACTGAGAAATCTCGCTCAACTGCTGTCTCCTCTTTTAGAACTCACAAATGCTTCGCAGCAGAAACAAGCCCACAGGTCCTTTGTCATCATCATAGCCTGTTATTTTAAAGTATCTTGCCAGCCCTTCTGATATATGTGAATTAGCTGGCTATGTTGCTTGTGTTATCCAGGTGGGCCTCAAACTCGTGATTCTTCTACCTCAACCTCCAGAGTAGCTGGGATTATAGGTGTGTGCCACAGTGGCCAGCAAGATTTTTTAAAAAAATGTATTTGTCTAAGCCAGGCATGGCGACACATGCCTATAATCCCAGCGCTCGGGAGGCTGAGGCAGGAGGATTGCTGCGAGTTCGATGCCAGCTGAGGCTACAAAGTGAGTTCAAGATCAGCCTGAACTGCATAGTGAAACCCTTTCTCAAAAAGACTACCTATATATTTGTAGTTCTTTTTAGTGGAAAACTTGGTCTGAATTACTGAGCCTCCATGATTACTGGAAATAAAAGTCCTTTATGTGAATTGGCAACTGTCTTAAAAAAATATATATATATATATATATTTATTTATTTATTTATTCATATACATGTATACACACACACATATAATAAGTATGTCTGAACATGTTCCACCAAATTCAGGTGTTGAAGCCTAAGCATCAATGTGATAGCATTACGGGATGAGCATTTATAAGGCGCTTACTGCATGAGGGCTCCAGGGACCTTAGTGAAGAGCTGGGGTGGCCCTCCCTTTTGGCTTCTGCCTTGTGGCCTGTGGGGAAAGAGCCCCTGGTCCCCCTTGGAAGCCGACAAACATCGTCAGCCACTGCTTCTGCTAGTGCCTTGACTGTGAACGTCCCAGGCTTCAGGATTATGAGAAATGTCTGACATCTATAAATTACCTAGTAGCTCTTCGTTGCCATAGTACAAGTGGACTGAGATGGGCGGATTTATGGGAATGGTGTATGAAATCCTAGCCTGAGGAAAGAAAGCAGGGTTGAAGTTGCAGGAAGAAAGCTGTGCTTTCCAAAGAATGTATGGGTGAGGTTGTAATAAAGAGAAACATAGCAGTTCTAACAAAATGGCTGTGTGTTATTTATCTCACATAACAGTCCAGCAGCAAGGAGTTTAAGTCCTTGGGCAAACGCTGATCTATGAGTTAACAAGAGCCCAGGTTCCTTCTGTTTTGTTGCTCCCTTGACCCCTAGGAAATGGTCTTCATCCCCATAGGTAAATACCTCATCAGTATTCAGGTTGGGGAGGATGAGCCAAGAGGAAGAAGAGGGTAACCAGCAATATTTTGCTTTGGGGAGTGTAATCAGGAAGTTGAAGGCATTACTTCCATTCACATATTTGTGGTATGAACCACTTATCTGGGCATATCTAGAGATAAGACAGGACTGGATGTGTCATTTCTAACTGGAATGGTTCTCAGTCTCTTCATGGACCCTAGTTAAGAAAGGTAGAGACACAGCGCCTGCCTGGCAAGCGTAAGGTCGTGAGTTTGATTCCCGGAACTGGAAAAAAAACAAAAAAAACAAAAAGGCAGAGAATGACCTTATACCCAGGATGGGCTGATGGGGCAAGGGGGAGAGAGGACAGTGTGACTTCACATGTGAGGAGGAAATGGTGTTTCTATGTGCTGCAGAGGACGAATTTGAGTGGTGGCTGTTAAACTCTACCAGGCATTAGAATTACCCAAAAGGCTCGTTAAAACATGGCATGGGCATCACCCCCAAGATTTTTGAATCAGCAGGTCTGGGGTAGAATTTTCATTTTCCAGATGATGCCAAGGTTACTGGTCCAGGGATGTGACTGTAAGAACACTGTATGCTGTTCCCAACTCGCCTGTACTCGCTCTGCTTCTAAGAGTTGATGGAAGGGCGATGTATAACCTAGTGATATAGCTGAGCCCAGCACTTTCAACTGCGGAATTCCAGAGCCCTGCATCACTGTGTTACTGAGAGGCTCATAGTCTCGACTAGGTAAACTTCTTAACATAGATGAGAATGATCACTGTACTTTTGATTTTCTAACACCCAGTCTCTCTTCCTTGCTAATTCCAATACATATTCTAGAAAGCCATTTAGCAATCTTTATTTTTTTTTTTTTGTACACAAGGTCTCACTATGTGGTTCAGGCTGGCTTTGAACTCACTATGTAGTCCAGGCTGGCTTCAAACGCACAGCAATCCTCCTGCCTCAGCTTCTCG